TCGGGATTTTTCACCGGCCACCCCCCGCGCCACGCAATTAGGATTTTATGTTAATTGTTTGTAAGTGGCGCCAATAAATTGTGAGGGGTCGCGCGACCCCCCTCCCCCGAAGGGCGTAGGACGGAAAACGTGCGGGATTAAGGAAAAGCTTCGATTTTTTAGGCAGCGGCGCGCGTGGCGCCTGGTCTCATAAAAACGCCGTTTAAAAATCAACCCCACCGCCCCCCTTTAATTTAACATTAACAACGCGTAATCGTAAACCTTTTAATCCCCCACTGGGCGAACGGCGGGTATTTACGATTATGATTTTTAATTTGTATGCAAATTTATCCCTCCCCCGCCCCTGTCCATAACTTTATTTTATATTTTAACGCGTGTTTCAATAGATAATTGTGTACTTTGTTTCGTTCGGGTTAATTTATAAATAAATTGGTTTCGTCAATGATTCCGAACAAATATTTTTTTAAAATGGAAATAAAGAAAAATACAAAAGATAAATAGGTATAGAGAGAAAAACAAACCATTATATTATTAGACGCTATTCACCCCAAGAATTAAAAAATATTTAGGCAACACACACTCAACAACAATCATTTTTCATTACCCGCTTATTTTTATATACGTCCCTTTGTTATGTAAATTAATTGTGTCATATTTTTCTTGATTGTTTTTTTTAGATTAGTTATAATATTTTCATATTATTTGCGATATTTTCGATAAACTTTCGTTTCAATTTTTAGATAATTTACAACATTTTTTTTGTTTTTTTTTTATCATTTATTAATTTTCTTTTGCATTATCACATTCATATTAACAATCATATCATAGGCAGGTTGCAATCTTGTCCTTTTTGCGAATCATGGCTTTTTATCTTTTATACAATGTTTACAGAATGTCTATGTCTATGTATTAACCTTAATAAAAGCTTTTGAACATTCCAAATAAACTATCTCGAAATTTCCCAGTGAAAAAGGTTTTGCTTGTGTATATAATATACGCACGCTCTAAATCGATGGCAAAGAAAATACAGGGGTATGTCTATACAATTACATGAAATCTGTTACAATTTGCCAAAAAGCAGCTCATCACTCACCACAATAGTTTATGGTTAAAAATTAACATCCAGTTACACTAGTTACACTTACTTAGGGATTGAATTTGATGCCACCGGAAAAGACGAACGCCAAATTAAAAGACGTGTAACTCAAGCCAGCAGATTAGCTTCTGGCTTAAATGGAATCCTTTGGAGTCACGAGATAGGAAAAAAACGAAAATACAACATCTAAAAGTTCTTTATCGTGTGGAGCAGACATGTAGGAGTGCAGAAAACGACAAAAGAAAATTGGAGGCCACCAAAATGGAGGTGTTCAAAGGGTAGTTGGGAATATCCAGATAAGAGGGGATACGTAATGAAGTTCAGGTACTTATGGACGTAGAAGAATCACTAGGGACAGATATTTTTTTCCAATAATAGAGAATTTATTGCTTGTTACTGCTTTCGTATATATGAAAAGATACAAGCAAACTTTAACAAGGAACAATGAAACAACTGACTCGTGTGGGAGTTATATTGCACACGCATTGATTGGAATCTTAGGGGAAACCAACGAATTCAATGATTATAGTAGGATCTAATTTAGTTGCATCCAAACAATTGGAAAAAAGCAACAATTTAAGTGTAACCGGATTTGATCGAGAAACATTGACCAACTTGTTTTTGTCCAATAGTGTTCCGACAGATAAAATCATTAACCCTGCACAAAATTTTAAAATATTTTTTTCTAACCTGTTTCATGTGACTTGTTTGGCTCAGTTTCCATTGGTAAATGATTTAATTAATCAAGTAAACAAAGCATTTCTAAAAGCACCTTCACGTATTACCACCACAACCAGTAATAATTGTCTGGAGAAGTTGGTTTGTCAGTTAAAAAGGGTATCGAAGATCTCACCGATTCATCTTCTGCCACTCTAATAAATGCAAAAACTCTTTTTTCTAACCCAACAGTGGAGAAAAATGTAATATTAATAATAACAAATTGTTCTTTAGCGCCTGTAGAACAGAAATTGGAGGCTAGCTCTGTTTATTGGACACATTCAGTGGCTTCAATAAATCGATTTGAGGTAGATTGCAAAAAAGTTTCAGGTACTGTTGGAGCTGCGGTTATAAAAAATTTATATCAGTCACAAGTTAAATTAGAACAAAAAATGTTCAGATTTTCACAGTTTTTAATACTTTTAATATTTAATGCTTTTATCATGTTTTTTTATAAAGGCACGGTGTTCAATTTTTAGACATATGTTTACAAATAAAAGACACAATTTTCTTTTGAAAAAAATTTGAAAAACATTTAGTCATCAATTGTTTTTATAACTGCAACGCATAGTTTGTAAATTTTCAAATTGTATGTTGTGCAATTTGCTATTTTCTGAATGTATTAATAGTATTGTTGAATGATTAATGGAATTATTAACTAATCTCAAATAATATTGATTTTTTCTAAGATTTTTATCTTTTAGATTTTATATTTTGCATTTTGCTAGTATCAATGTTTGTATCAATGAATATAAAAACTTTTATTAGTATTTTTTTGTTTGCTTCATTTATATTTGTTCAAATAGGCTTGTGGTATAGGTAACAAATTATTATATTAAATATTATATTATTTAAAGTAGTTTTAATATTCATAATTTTTATGTTATAAATACTAAACCGCAGAATACTAGGAAAATCTAGGAAAACTTGAAAGGAGATAGTTTCCAGTGCAATGAGCTCCAAAGAAGTCAATGGGATGATAGAGGATTGTGGAAGTTAGGCATCGGACAACGTCGAAAAACGATTTAAAACCCAATTATATATATTACATATTTATATTATATTTTTTCATAATTTTTAAGAATATAAGCAAGAAGTTTTTTCGTCCTTATATCGCACTTAGGCTATTTATGTCAGTTTTTTTATTATTTTCAATATTTTTTATTCATTTTTATAATAACATTGATATCTACCACGTGACATTGTTGTCGTTTCGTATAACATTTTGTCTTGTTTTTTGTTTTGCCTCAAATTTTCTCTCTTTTCTTGCTAATTTGTATTCGAAATAATTTGTTTTCAGGTTTTTTAACGCTTGTTCCACTTACCGACTCCATAATTTCCCTGCTGTATCTGCTTAATTACAATCATTAAAGAAGATTTATTTACAATTTGAGGTTATGTCGTGAGCAACTAATTTTACTTCTCAATTGGCCTAAACTTAACGCAAATATTTAGCTATAAAAAAATAAGTTGCTTATGCAGAACAGTTGAACCTAAAAATGTTGATTGTATAGAGTTCGCTTTTGCTTTTATTTTTTGTTTTTTTTTCATTCGCGTTGTGAGTTTTTTTACCTACTGTTATATCCGATATACTATTTATTAATTTATGTAATTTTAGGGAACGGAACGGAAAATAACCCCCCCCCCAATTCCTCGTCAATCTGGTCGTAGCGGAAACTTGAAGGGCGACCTGGGCGGGGGGCGGCGGGGGTTGCGACCCGACGAAATTAATCAAAAGGATCAAACGATCAGAAACAATAATTAATACGCGCGACCCCCGGCACTCGAAATTGTGGACGTCCGCTGCGTCTTCGTAAATCTTCCATTAAATGTATATCGGACGGGTAAAGACTTTCCGGACGATTATGAAATTCCTTAAGGTTACACAGGTCGCTAGATTGAAGGCGGTCGCCCCCCCACCCCCAACCCACGGATTTGTATTGAGTGGACATTCGAAAGTTGGTGCGGAATTTCAATTCGGACCGTTTAAGTTGGCAACTTGTAGAATTAACCGAGATGCCCGCGCCCCCTGCCTCCACCCGGATGCCATTTGTCTTGGTTTGACTCGCCGGGACCGCCGCCCGGCCATTATTCTTGGCTTCTGCGGCGGTGGATCGTAAACAATGCAGCCAACTTTGAACACGCATCAAGAGGTATTAGTTACCTGTAATTGTTAGTTGGGGATCGTGTATTGACGTCGGCGACGGAGGGGGGCGGTGTTCTGTTACGCGGCGGATTTGGCCGCCTCCGGGCAATCTGCTAAATGGGCAGGGGTAAGTGTGGGGACTGACCGTCGGTTCCCTCCTGCCCTGATGCGGTTTATCAACATCGAACTCGGAACAAAGTTAAAACGCCATTCGGACCTACGGGGAGCAGGTGGTGCGACTGGCGTTCTGTAAATTTTCGACGCCCTTTAGGGCGGTCGGGTCAACTCTCGACCACGCAAACATAACTCTGACACAGATGATGATGAGTATGATCTATAGCATCTGCGTCAGTGGAAACCTGTGGCCAAGATCCCGCCGATATACGATTATGGGATTTTATACAATACCGATTTTTGGATCGGTTTTGGGTGTCTCAACCATTATTAAAATATCGCAGACGTCGAAAGTTTGAAGTTATCACAAGTCCTCTCACTTGAACAACAAATTTTATTAAGTCCGATATGGTCTAGTGGCTAGGATACCTGGCTCTCACCCAGGAGGCTCGGGTTCGATTCCCGGTATCGGAAAAATTTTTTTAAATTTAAATCATAAATGAAAATCATATTTCATGGCTTGGTGACCAATTTAATGTTATTTTTACTAAATTGCTCGAAGAGACTGAATGTATATCACTGAAACAAAAAATGTAATTGATTTAGACCGTAGTTTTCGTTAAATAAAATAATACGGCCCCTCAAAAAGTTATGAAGGTTAGATATTTAAAAAATAAAAAGTAATAACACAGCAAAAAAAAATTATTCCGATACCGGGAATCGAACCCGAGCCTCCTGGGTGAAAGCCAGGTATCCTAGCCACTAGACCATATCGGATATGTTAAGTTGTCTTAAAACATGGTACTCTTTCCGGAAATGATATATGAAGCAGTTTTTAAAAATAAACTGTGTTCTAAATTTATGCATTTATATTGACACATTTTCTATGAACAACGAAATGCTTAAGCAATAAGCAATTGGCGAAGCGTTGCGTCATTCGTTACGTAAACCGAAAACGTGACAATGCGGTACCCTGTTGACAATCAACGACCGCGCCGTTAGCCTTTTGTTGGTTATGATCGGAGGTTATATTTATTTTTTAGTGATACGCTATAGAAATGTTAATAGCCGTTAATAATTGTTGAAAACGATGAGATAGCATCGATATGCGTCCGACCACTCATTGCGTTACTCGTAGAGAATATATCGGCGGATAAAGGCAGCTCTCCCACGAGCAGAAAAAATTATCGTTTTGTTCTATTTTGTAAAACAATTTTTTTTTTTTAACATGAAGGTGGATAAACAGGGCCTGAGGTACGTTCGCATCAGCACTGTTTTCTTTTAAGTCGTTGTTCGATTCGGATTTTTTAGCGAAAATATTTTGGTGGGCTTGGGAAACCCGCTGCTGGACATTTCCGCGGTCGTAGATAAGGATTTTCTGGACCGGTACCACATGAAAGAAAACGATGCCACATTATTCGATCCCGAGAAACACGGTAACCTATACGGCGATTTGACAACGAAATATAAAGCAGAATACATAGCTGGTGGCAGTGTACAGAACGCCTTACGGGTGGCACAGTGGATCCTGGAGAAGCCCAAAGTTACCACGTTTTTCGGTTGCGTCGGTGTCGACGACTACTCGAAAATTTTGCACGAACGGGCCACTTCGGACGGGGTTAACGCAGTTTATCAATATAACGATCGAGAGCCAACAGGCACGTGTGCCGTTCTGATTACTAAGTTTCACAGATCGCTCTGCGCCCATCTCGGTTCGGCAAATTGTTTCACCATTGATCACATTAGCAAACCAGACAATAGGAAATTGTTGGAGGGCGCAAGATTTTATTATATTTCGGTGAGTATTTTAATTATTTTCTGATAAAGTATGTTTCCCGTTTCCCTGGAATGAAAAGGGGCTTTTCTAATTATTAAATTGTGTGAAACTGCTCTTGAATTTTGCATTTTTAATTTTCAGGGTTTCTTTTTGACAGTCAACCCTCCGTCTATACAGGAGGTGGCGAAATTGGCACTGGCCCATGACAAACCATTTATAATGAACCTCAGCGCCCCGTTTATATCGCAGCTTTATAAAGAGCCTCTGATGCAGGTTATGCCTTATGTGGATGTCATTTTTGGTAACGAAACGGTAAGTTGAAAAACAGTTGCGTCATTTTGCATCGATAAATTGCGATGCTATCTCGCTCTGTCTCATTAGAATTTTTCGCAATGCGTTTTATTATCGACAATAAATTAGATAAGATTGATCCATAAAATCTCGCGCAGAAATTATTGCTCATGGTTTAATGGATCTTCATTAAACCAATGCCAAGGTTAATGGCTCAGTTTTTTAGGAAGCAGAGGCTTTCGCGACAGAGCAGTCGTTCGCCACGAAAGACGTTAGGGAGATTGCCTTAAAAATTGCCGCGCTTCCCAAACTAAATAAAAAGAGAGGTAGGATAGTGATAATCACCCAAGGTATTGATCCGGTGGTGGTAGCCCATGATGGTGAGATATCCGAGTACCCCGTAGAGGCGCTGCCCTCCGAAAAACTCGTCGACACGAATGGGGCCGGTGACGCTTTCACAGGTATATTTGAAACTTTAATTAGCAGTGCCCTTTGCTTTTGATATTTTGGTGGATGTGCCGGGTTTTTAGTTGCTTTTATTTAGAAGAGGGTTTCCTAATCTTTTTTGTGCCATCCCTCACTGTAACATGGTTTTAGCAAGATATCACTGTGAAATTTCTATTAAAAAAACAGTAAATAATATTTTAAAACGTATAATAAAAAGTGAAATTCAAATTCAAAATAATTCTATATTAATTTAGTGTGATCCTTGTGCTTGATGTTTACTGCTAGTTTAGGTTCCAATTTAGATCAGCTTTAATCTCAAGTCTCCATGTTGTGTTATACCCAGTCGATTTCTTTTTTTGTCAGTAAATCCTTTACAGCACTAAATCCACACTTGACTAAATATAAAGATGGAAGGTAGTAGAAGTTGTTTTGCATTTTTGATTGTATTTGGGTATCTACTTAAAGTTTCTTCACAAAGTCGTGCCATCGCTTCTTTTGTATTAAATGAAATTTTTACTCACGCATCATTTTGCAATTCTGTGAGTTCTTCTTGATACTTCATGTTTGATATATCAGACAATCCACTCATATTAGCTGCATAATCTATGTTAGGAAATCAATTTGTAAATCAGAAAATCTTTCTTTTAAATCAGCAAATAGAATATGAATGAATGAAACTGATCAAAGTTTATTGGTAATGAAACCAAATATCTTTGCCTTTGTGTCGATCAGTGTTTTATTTGTTTCTTGAAATTGCTTATTAAGATATTTAGTTTTTCAAAGGTATCGGCTAAATATGTTATAAACGCTTTACCATCGATTGTTAACAGTCACACAGAATATCGAACAGTTCAAAAATAACTGGACAAAAAGCTCAGATTTCACACCAGCTTTAATGGCATTTAATTTATTAGGGGCGCCATCTACAGCACAAGATGTTATTTTTTTTCATCAATGTATCTTACATAAGTTAACTGATGACTGCCTCACTGCCTCTCAAAGTTGAATCATCCATTTGCACTGAGAATTTTCTTGTTTTCAGCGTTTCGTTCGTTTCTTCTGCTAACAGTATTGTTACTGCATGGCATAGCTTTTACCTATTTGTCATTTTTTTCTAGGATCATGTTAAGAAATGCTGATATTGACGGTTTTATGAAATTCTCTCCCATAGTGCGATTGTTTCCAATTTTAGTAATTAATAAAAAAAAATTGATAACTAGCCCCAGTAAAACGGTTATTAGTTGAAGTACGGGCAGTAAATGGAGACTTTAATGTTGTTCTTTTTTCAAAAATTTTCTTTTAAGTTTTAAATTAACTCAAATCTGAATTAATATGAGTCTAAAATCATTTTGGGTTTCAAACTGAAAAATTGGTGTTTGAAAACGCACTGTTTCGCGTTTAATTTTGTTTGATTGAAAGCGCATCCCTACAAAATTTAACTGTCCAAAAGCTTGTCTTCTAAAAGCTCCTCTTTCATAAGTTACCTCAAAGCTTCCCTTCTAAAAGTTCTCGCTCGAAAAGCGCTCTCTTCCTTCTTGAAACTTTCTCACCGAATCCCTCTTTCTAAATGCTCTTTCTTTCAAAGTTGACTTTCTACGTACGTTATTTTGAAAATAGAGTTTTTTAGGTGGGTTTTTGTCGCAATACATTCAGGGAAGAGAGCTCGACGTGTGCGTTAAGTGCGCGATTTGGGCGGCCCGGGAGATCGTGCAGAGAAGCGGGTGCACATTCGATGGGAAAGCGGCCTTCGATCCGTCCAAGTAACGTAATTATTTTTTATTTAATCGGGTCCATTTTACCATAGGATCGGCGACACGATAGGTCAATTGTGGTGTTCACGGTAATAGGAATGATATTGTACTAAGATTTTTTACAGGTTAAAGTTGTAGATGTTGAATAAAAAAAAAACAAATAGGGTTTTTGTTTGACGTAAGTTTTAATATTTCTTGCATTGAAAGAAATATTCTTGTTACTTCCGTCAGTTTGGGAAGTCTTGCGCTTGAAGCGTGGGGTAAAAAAAAACACCCTCGTAAAAACTAATATTCTTTACTCTTTAATAATGTACAAATAAAAAAAATGTACAGCAAAACGTCAGTAACTGGTACTGATATTCTAACAATAACGTATCTAATCACAGTGCTATTTACCAAAATATATATATATCATATAATAAAAATAGTGTTAAAACATCAAACACTTAACCTTGTACAAATTTGATTATCGAATTATATACAAAAGGGGGAAAAACAAACTCTCTCAACAGGAGAAACGTCTACCATCGCGTCGCACCAATTCCCGCAATGTTAGCATAAAAAAGATGATAATACAGTGTCTAATAAAGTAGCCGGCACAGCCTGTTTATTCAACGAACGAAAGAAAAAAGGGGGCGGGGCGTAACTAAATCGCCGACGTTAAGGCATATCCGTCTCGACAAATCTCACCGATCGCACTTTTTAGTGTCTGTTCAACGGCTGCATGATACCGTTTATGTAACTGTAGGTATACATCGCGTTCGGCTGCGCCCTCTGCAACGCCTGGTCCTGGTACTGGCTCTGCGCGGCCATGTTCATCATCTGCATCGGTATCTGCGCGTTGTTGATAAATCCCGCGGCCGTGTTCGTTATATAACCGGTGACGGCGCCGGGCGTCTGCTGCGGCGCCATCCTGTACCCGTTCAACGAATTGTTCATCACGTAAGGATTGAGGGGCACGTTCGGGCTGACGCGGCTCGACGACGGCTGCATGTGTTGCATGGCGGCCACGTTCGTCGTCGAAGTCCGACCGCCCGAACGGCCCAAATTCTGACCGATAGGGGGCGTCACGTTGCCGCTCAGCTGATTCACGTTCGCCTGGTAGTATTTATGGTAGCCGAGCACCTGCTGCTGCAAATTGGGCGGTATGCCGGACGGCGGCGTCCTCACCGTCTGATTGGGCAGCATCTGGTGACTGGGAGGCGGGGTCATCGCGTGCGGGTGATGAGTGGGCGGGGTCATCGCCGTCGGGGGCGGGGTCATCGTATTGCACGACGACGGCGGGATCACGCCGTTGGTGAGTTGCTGGAGTTTCGCGAGGCTACAGCTCGAGTTGCCCGGTTGGGCGCCGCCGGGGTTGTTGCCTTGTAGCGACGAAGGCGAAGGGGTGGGCACCGCGGGCGCGTGCGTATGGCTATGAGGGTTAGTTTGAATGTAGAAACTGGGCGGGCCCGTAGTCACCGCGCAACTGGGCGACGGCGCGAGTTTCTGGTGACCCAACGGGCTGACGCCGCTCTGCTGCGCGCTCATGCGGTGCTGGATGACGGTCGTCATCGGCACGTTGACGTACGTGCTGTTCGTCTGCGACGGGAACGCCTGCGTACTCGCCACCGGTATGTAGTTCGCCTGACTGATGACCGAGTGGTGGGCGTGGTGCGGGTGTTGATGCATCGGCGGCGCGGGCGCGAGCTGGTGATGCGCGTAGCCCTGATGCACGGCCGCCACCTGGTGGTGCAGGTGTTGCTGCAACTGCTGCTGGTGCTGTTGTTGGTGTTGCGGCGGCGCCGACGGGCTCGCTTGCATGTTGATCTGGTGCTGGTGACCGGACGGGGGCGTGGCCCTCTGTCGACCGGCGCCGCTCGGCGGCGTCGATCTGATGTTGTGTTGCTGCTTCGTCGACGGCGTATTCGCTCTGCTCCTCTGCTGCTGCTGTTGCTGCTGCTGCATCTGTCTCTTCCCATTCGGCGCGATCTGTTGACTGTTTTGGATCTGCATGGTGGGGTTCATGCCGGGACTCGAAGCCGGCACCGTGATGTTCTGGCTCTGCATGTTTTGTTGCATGTTGTGCTGCACGGTGCAGTCGTAATTCGTTTGAGGCGGGGCGGCGGGATTCATGGCCGACGACGGCCTTGCCACCCCTTCGGCCGAATTTTGCGACGCCATGTCGCTCGATATCGACGCTGGCGACTCGAGACCGAGCTGCGCGACGTCGATGTCGCACTGTCCGTACTGCAGACTGTGCACCGAGTTGGTGGTCGAGTCGGGCGTGTACACGCCCATCGACGGGATATCCGGCGTCGGAGGCGTCTGTTTCACGTGGGTCGTGGTCGCGACTTTCGGTGCTTCGTGTTGATCGAGCTTGATCTCTTCTTTGGGTTTCGTTGCGCTTTTCGGCGCTAAATTAACGAGCGGTTGCGGCACGCAGGGCGGCATCTTGCCGCCCTGTACCGAGCACGTCGCCGCGCCCTTCACGGACTCGCCGGAATGATGATGCTTGGCGTCTTGCTCGCTCTTGTGTCTCAATTTCTCGTCCTTCTTCGGCGAAACGTTCTTTTCGCGGTGCTCGCCGCTCTTGCTCGACTTGCACGAACCGTTGCCGCCGTTTCCTACCTGCTGGTGCTGCTGCTGTTGCTGCGCGTACTTCGACTCTTGTCGGTTACCCTTGCTCGGCGGTTTCTCTTTTTCACAGCCGGGCGGCTGCTGCTGCTTCGGCAGCATGTCCAACGGGGGAAACTGAAGCGGCGGCATCGGATAACCGGCGTACTCCCTCTTGGCCGTGTCGTAGTACAAACTCTTGCCCCACAACGTTTCCCACTGCCACGGGTACTGCGGCGCCGACGACATGTTCATGTTCATGTGGTAACCTTGCGACGCCATCGCGCTCGCCAAGAACGCCTGCGAATCGTACGCCGCTTTCTCGTCGTGCGCCATCTTCTGGTGGTACCGTTTGTCGTCGTACTTTTCCGCTTTGGGTTTCGTCGTCTCCTGTTTCGGCGAGATTTTGATCTCCTCCTTGGGTTTGATGTATTCCTGCGGCGACGTTTTCGTCTCTTTCGCGGGATGCTTTTCTATGACCGATTTGGGTTCCGGGACGGGCGCCGGTTTCGGGCTCGCCTTGACGGGCTGCGCCGGAGGTGGCGGCGGTGGCGGTTCCTTCGGTTTCTCGGGGCTGACGATCACCTCCGGTTTGGGAGGCGATTGAACCTTGGGCGGCGGCGGCGGCGGCGGCGGCGGTTGGTGTTGGGTGTTGTTCACTACGACGCTGGGTGGCGGATTCGCGGGTTCCTGTTTGCGCGGTTCCGGTGCGGCTACCACGAGTACTGGCGGCGCCTCTCGCGCTTCGGTTTTGGGTACTTCGGTCGCGGCTGGCGGCGACGGCGGCGCAGGTTCCGCTTCCGGTTTGGTTTCGCTCTCGGGTGCGCAATCTGTTTCCGGTTTTTCCTCCGGGGCGGCGTCGATCGGTTGCTTCCGCTCCTCCTCTGTCTTGACGGTCGACTCTTGTTGAGGCGCCTCCTGGACGATTATCTCCTGAGTGTGGCCCATTTTCTCGATCTCCATGTCGATCGACTTCCTGCCCGATTCGACGTCCGCTTCGTCGATCACTTTCGCCTCCTCTTTGTCGGTTTCCTTCTCCCGCGTCGCCGCCTCCGCCGACGCGTCTTTGTCCGCGGCCTCGGGAGCGCCGACAAATAGACTAGGTCGTTCGAGCGCCTCCTTCTGCGAGATAATTTTCAGTTTTTGTCCGTCGATTTCCGTCTCCGACTCGGACGTAGTCGAATACAGAACCGGGGCGGTCGCTTTGACGTCATCCGATTTCGTCGGACTCGATTTCGGCGTCCGGTTTTTCGGCGGCGTCCTCGCGTCCCCGCCGCCCTCCTTCGCGAACTTATACTTGCTGGGCGACGCGTCCTTGGGCGCCGGCAGCTCGTCGTTCTCCATCTCGTCGTCCGCCTCCGCGCTCGAGTCCTCCTCCGTCGAGATCCTCGACGCCAACTTCAACTTCTTCTTCTCGTGTTTGTCGACGAACGCGGGGGGCGGCGTCGCGACGTCGCCCTCCTTCGACGCGGCCTCGTCTTCCGACTTTTCCGACGGGATCGACTCGCTTTCGCTATCCTTCTGGAGTTTCGCCTTGATAAGCTCGGGAAGCTTGAGCTGCTTGTCGACGACGCCGAACGTGCGTCGCGATCTGCCCTTCACCCAGCCCCGTTTCTTCTTCATCGGCCGCTTCTTCACTTGCGGCGTCAAAACCGGGGCGGCTCGACTCGTTTCCCGGTCTTCGGGGGCGGGAGCCGCCGCCGGTTCGAGAACCGGGATATCGTCCGACTCTTTGGCCTTCTCCTCCACCTCCTCCTCTTCCGTTTTCGCCGGCTCCTTGTTCTTCTGCTGCTGCTGCTGCTCCTGCTGTTTCTTAAGTTTACGTTGGGACCATCGCTCGCCCACCACCTTCTTCGCTTGTTGCGTGCCGCCGCGTCTCGGTCGGCCGGGCATGACCGGCGTCGTCTCGACCCCGCCCACGTCCGCCCCCGCTTTACTCTTTTTCGTCGTCGCCTCTTTTTCCACCTCCGACGATTCGTTGTTCCTTTTGCGTTTCGCCGTCTCGGCGCCGGCCTGAGTGGCGTGCTGCTCGCGTTTCGGCTTAATATCGCAATAAGTGGTCTCGTTGTATTTGACCGGTCTGGTCCTTTTGCGTCCCGACGACGTTATCTCGACTTCCTCGACGTGCTCGACGCTCTCCACCACCGGTTTCGTTTCCACCTTGGGAGTTTTCGGAGTCCTCGTCGCCGCCACGACCACTTTCCTCTTTTTGCCGCGCTTCAATTTCACCCCCTGCGTGTTCTCGATGATTATCTTCTCGGGGGCGGTGATCACGTCGGCGGTCTCGATCGATTCCTCCTTCTCCGCGTCCGATTTGTCTTCCCTGAACTGATTCGCCGCGTTGGTCAGCAACGGTGTCCACCTCAGGCACTCCTGATCGATGTAGATCCGGGTCTTAGATTTGGCAACCCTGTCGGCATGAGCGTCCACTTTCGCCCAGTCTACGCTTATGGCGGGCGCCACGCCCCCTTCGTCCGTCGACACGTAACTGATGAAGTTGAGCAGTTGGAACGCGAGGGCGATGTCCTGACAATACATGCCGGTGTCTTTGCTGATGTCGGTGAGCGTTATCTCTTTGCCGCGATGGACGTGAAGGTACTCCAGCACGACCGACTTCCAGTAAGAGTGGTACGACACCCGGCCGAGATCGGAAAGGGGTTTCTCGGGAGTGCCCGGTTGGCCCTCCTCCTTCGACAACAGATAACCTAAAAAATAGAGACCCGGGAAAATCAGTCAATCGCTTAAAAGACGTCATTATTCTTCATTTTATTTTTACTAAACAATTATTTTTGTTAATCAGTTCGGTTTAATTTTTTGACGATTATATTACGGAAAAGAGGAAACGCAAACATTATGTAATATTTCTTTTAGCACAGTCATGAAGAAAGGATTTTGCTTTTCTAAACTCTACCTTTTATTTTAAGTAGATAGGTACAAGCGTTCAAGAATAAATTTCGGCATTTTTACATAAGGAAATTTAAGGTAAAAACTACCTCAATTCTGTCCTAGTTCAAGGTCATTGGAAACCCTCATCTACTCCCTCTTCCCCTAACCTTCCATCCCCCACAATTCTTACCTCTGTCTTAACCATATAATAAAGTGGCCCTCCTACCGATAAACCGATACGCCGCAGGCGACATTCGTATTTCCTTCTCAACATTTTTTTCATAGTTGCTCCATAAGTTGGTTGGTGTCTTACCTTGCAGATTCTCTATATACCTCTAGTGGCTATATGGTCTCAACCCTTCGCCCCTTCACTCCCCGCTCCCCCCTCAAAACCTCGGCCGCATCACCAAACACAGTTCAAAATTGAGTTGTTCTTGAAAGCCTGTGCCGTTCTACTCCTTTTGAATTCTTAACATTTCATGGTCAAATTTTCTCTAATGCAGCGTTATAAAAAATCGGATCTAATTTGTTTAACAATAAACGAAACGACGTCAAAGACCCGCAGTAGGTCAACTACAACTAGAGATACTTATTGCTAGAACAATCGTAATACTGCATTATATTCTTAATATTATCTAAGAATTATTTGCACGTTTAGATAATTGTCTAAGGTATATGACTCAAGTTCAATTGAGAGTTTTTTAATTTTCCTTTTAAACACATTCCTATTATTAATTCGTCTAACATTTAAAGGTAGTATATTAAACAGTTTAACACACACTTATAATCTTTTCAGTGATTTGTAGGCGAAGTAAGGTTAAGGTGTAATATTGCGATCTCGTATTATAATTTTCTGTATTTTTCTGTATTTTATTGCTGTGAAGGAGCGTAAAGCAAATATATATAGAGGGTATACCGTCAAAAGTCTCATTTGTGTTTAAACACATTTCACACATTTCTTTCCCAAAAAATTATTCCGTATTTCATTCTTGATTCAAAGTTTGCCAAATATGATACTGTTAGCGCTTTTTCGTTCATATATCTACCAACCGTTCTAATACCATAGCAGATTGAATTTAATTCAAGCCCAAAAAAATTTGTATTTTCCGACTCAAGAAATTCTGGCACAAATATAATCCGGTTCCAATGACCAAAGTATCATTTGAAAAGCCACAGAAGTGACAAATGTCGATTCCACAGAAAATACTCACTGAACTCGATCAAAAACCGTCCGAAACCCTGACGTTGGTACTGCGGCATCGTCATGATACACGAGACGTTGTATTTTTGCTGGCAGTGCTTCTCCTTGGAGAAGTAACCGATCAGGTGGCACCCTTTCTTGTCGTTCTTGGTCAGCACGTAAAACAGGAAGGGTTCGACGTCGTAGTACAGGGTCTTGTGGTCGAGAAAGAGTTTCGCCAACAGGCAAAGATTCTGACAGTAGATCTTGTTGACATTGCCGTCGACCTCGAATACGGAAATGTCGCCGCATCTATAGATCTCGGTGGCGGGCGGGTGCCGCCACGTGCACTTGTCCTGGTGCCGCTCGAGGACCGCCTTGCTCTTGGTGTACTTTAAGCAAAACTCGCACAGGAACAACTTCGGGAGACGAGCGTACTCCTGCGGAAACGGACTAGAATACCACGTCTGGATCTCGTATTTGCCGAACTCGATGGCGCCGGGATTACGCGGCTGCGACAGCATCGCGGACGACGGCGACGTCAGCTGCTGGTTCGCCTCGTTCGCTTGCTGGGCGGCCTGCAAAATGATCGCGGTCGCCGCGTTCGCCTTTTCGCGGGCCTCGCGGAACAGCTCCAGGTCTTTTAGGGAAACGCCTGGCGGGAGATAAATCCGTCTCGGCTCCTCTGGAACAAACGTGCGGTATGATTTCGATCCGAAACCACGATCGACGGACGTTTCTAAAGGTTAATATCGAAATATTCCGGGAAAATGTGTGCGTTAATGCCGGAGCCTGAGACCCCCCCCCCCCCAGCAACGCAGCGACGATTTGATCCTTCTAACTTGGATCGCTTTTGACGAACGACAATAAATTAAAATATAATCCGGCTCGAAGGACCAAACTGCCGCTCCGATTTGGTTCTTCGATTTAATCGGCAAAGCGGTTGTTATATTAGCGTTTCATATGAACTACTCGTTTTAATAACGGTTCAAGAGTTCGTAATTGCACACCCACATTCTTTACATAATCCGACTCGAAGGAGCAAATTGATATCTCGACTTGGATCGGAAAACCAGTCGGGGTTCAGTCGAACTTCCTATTTTAAAGAACTACCATAAACGCCACCGAATGACAATCCGGCTCGAAGGACCAAAAGTGGCGACTTATAGATATAAGCATCTGAGATCAGGCCACCGTAATTATTTGTCCGCTTAGGCGGCCGTACTACGCGGACTAACGCGATCGCAAATTAAATCGATCAAGTTTCCGCGTTTTTGCTGCTGTTGTTCTCGCCGTCGCCGAGCGTCATCCGGCTCGAAGGACCAACGTGACGCCAAACGGTTAAACCGCCATCAGATCAGGTAACATCAGAAACTGTTGTTTCGGTGTTTCGTGCGTGCGTGTAACGTTAACGGAGGTATGTGAGGTTAAAACTACATACTTTCGAGAGAAAGAGAGATAGGGCATGCATCGCAAGCGTTCCAAGTGTTAAGAGACGTTCAAAATCGGGACGGAGGGGCGGCAGGTTAACCCGGGAATCGGACGAGGAGGACGGAGAGAGAATCAAACGCGCGAAAACGTGCACCGGGTCACGCGTTCATGGACGCTACGGGAGCGGGGCGGGAGCAGATTTGCCGGGCACCGAGGCAGGAGTTCCGATCTTACCCGTCTGATTGGTGGTAAGATGGGCCGTGGGCGGCGGCGCCTTAGGTGCGACGGCGGTTTGGCTGCGCTTTTTCGCCTGCGTCGTCGTCGAGGCGGATGCGGCGGCGGCGGCGGCGGCGGCTGCGGATGCGGCTGCGCACTCGGTGTTAAACAACTTCCTGTGGTCGGCCTCGAGCTCGAATTTCGAATTAACCGCAGTCTTTACGAGATCGCTGGGCGACAATATGGCGGCGGGCGGGCGTTTGAGCGCGGGCTCGCTAGGGGGGGACGCACGGCGCGAGGACGACGGAGGAGCCACGGGGACGGGGCTTTTTGGGACGGACGGGGGGGAAGCCGGCCTGCGGTTTTCTTTTTTTTGTTCGCCATCGAAGGGTGCGGACACGTCCCGAGGCTTTCGCCTGTTGGGATTGTAATCCGGTTGGGTGCGGGTTTTGCGGTTCGGAGACGGCGCGGCGAAAAAGTGAGACAGGCCGTCGAACAGCCCCTTGAGTTGGTGGCTGACGGTCTCGGAGGCGGCGACGGCTCCTACGTCTTCCTTCCGCGGAACCTTATCGTCGGCAAACGAGTTTTTATTGACGATGGCCGCCGCCGCCGCCGCTGCGAAACCCCACGGCGCGTCCTTGTTGTCGACTTTTATACCGCCGACGCTGCCGAACGTCTCGCGTTTCGACGCGAACGGGACCGTCGACGACGTCGCCACCTTTTGCATCCGTATCCTCGACTCCGAGTAACCGGCTTCGACCGACGAGTCCGAATCGGTGCTGTCGTCGTCGTCGTCGTCGGACGTGCACGAACTGCTACTCGAGCATTCGTCGCCGTCGCCGTCGGACGAGGACTCCGCGGTATCCGACTCGTCCGGAGCCTCGTCCTTTTTACCGCCTCGCGGGCTCTTACGTGTCGTCGTGGTCGCTTCCTCTTTAATTTTACCGTTCCGCGTCCTAGTGCGGGTGGTCAATTCGACCGCTTTGCTCTTATTGTTATTGTTATTATTATTATTATTATTACGCTTCTTTTTTTCCGCGTTGAACGCGGAATGTCTGAAAAATTTCTGTTTCTCCTTGGACATCCGGTCGTGGGTGTCGAGGTTATCTAACGCGGGGGTCGGCGGGGGCGGGGGACTGCGGGGATGGGGTCTTTGTCGGTGAGCGGTGACGGGGAGGCGCGGGTGTGTATCGGTGGCGGTGACAGGATTTGGCGTACCCTCAGTTTCGCTGTCGCTGTCGCCGCCCTCGTTCGCCGTCGCTCTAGCGCTTTTCCGGTTCGGCGTCCTGGCGGTGGCCGCCGTCGGCGTCGCGGGACTCGACGACGTCAGTAATGCGGGCGGGGGCGCGGCCGGCGACGTCGACGCCGCCTCTTTCGATCTAAACACAAGAAACGGACAAGGATGAACATCTATGCGCGCCGTTCAAGATTGCGAAAATTGAACTGTCACTCGGAATCTTCGCCTTGCATATTGCCTTTCTCACCCGTTCCTCGATGTTTGCTACTCTGCAACTCTGGAGTTGTTAGAACATGAGACTCTTAATTTGTGAGATTCAAAACACTCTAAATCAGGTAGAAAGTGACTAACTGATACGAATTAACGAAAGACCCGGGCAAGCTGTAAGAATGAAATATGGCCCAACAGGTCCGTACTTTGCTTAGAATTTAATTATTTGGGGATTTGTTATGAAAGATACTAAACAATATTTATTTATTTATGTATGTGTTTATGTTTAAATCTAAAATAAAATTACAAATTAATTTTATTACCTACTTAAATTACTTAAAATTATTCACATAATATATCAGTATCACTATCGCTATCATCGCCTGTTCTAATCATTATTGGTTCTATATTATTTGCAATATGGATATACGATTGTTCTGCTTTTTCTATATGTTTAACAGAATTTGCCCCACTTTGTGGAAAGATGTTAAAAACTTCGGTTTCTATAAGTTTGAGGACATTGAAGTTAACACGGGGAAAAACATTGTAACGACGAATGGCAGATTTCAGCTGGCGCCAAGCATGTTCAATGAGATTAAATATACAGTGGTAAGGTGGAAGACTTATGTAATGTATGTATGTATGTATGTTAATGACCGTGTATGTATGTTAATGACCACCCTTGGATAATCCCATTCAAAAGTAATTGGTCACTTTCTTATATCTATGAACAGACCATACCGTTACCCTTTTGAATCCAATCCATTGCAGTATGATTAATATTTCCGTGAATAACCAAGTAGTTCCATTCAACTCTCCTCATATATCTTTTGGAACTGAGTATTTTTGTAAGACGATCTAATTAATATGTTCGTCAATTTTCATCTTTCATCGTTTGCATAGAATTTATAATGGTTTCTTATCGGCAAGCAAAGTCCGTGAATAGTGAGTAGTTCCATTCCAAATTTTTTTAAAGAAATAAATATTCATTATTTATTTTGTATGGATGAAAAATAAACAAATACAACCGTAATATGTTGTTCTCCTTTGGCAAATAATGATTGAACTCATACATGGGCTAAGGCTTATACAGAGCGTTATTAATAATTTCCCCAAGTAACCGGCTCACCTTTGGTTCTTCTCCTTGATCCTCTCCCTCACTTTGTCGATCTTCTTGCGGACCGCGCTGCCCGGCTCCTTTTTCTGCGCCTTGCCGACGCTGTCGTGATGGCTCAGACAGTGGCGGCACCGCCACGGGCACTTGGGTTTCTTCTCGGCGGGCGGGTCCAGACAGCCCATGTGGTACTTGCGCTCGCAGCTGCAACAGCACAGCAGACACGTCGACACGCCGGTATTGCCGCAACCATCACACTGCTTGCACTCCTCGCAGAACCATTTGCTGCCCTTGGCGATTAGGGCGGCTAGCTCGGGACCGGCGGCGGTGCAGCTCAGGTGGACGAACGAGCCGCACTCGGAGCACGCGCTCAGTTTCTCTGCAACGCCCTTTTTGTTTTTCACCTCGGTGCCCAGGCACTCGGAACAGATCGGTAAAGGCACCGGTAGCTGTCAAAAAAAGAAAAAAAAACCGATGTAACAACGGAACGGAAACTTTATGGCCGATTTTGAAGAACATTTTCAACAAAAGTAACCTCGGAATTTCAAATAGAACGAGGCAGTTTTTATTAAAAATTGAACTGATGAAAATCCATACAACAAAATAAATAAGAACTAAAAGTTCAGATTTTCACGAAATTCATATATTCATATTCACATGACAATTGTTTCAAAATCAGGTGTCTTCATGTTGAAATGCGACTCATGTCCTAAAAGTTATATTGGACAAAGAGGTAGATCCTTCAAGAAACGTATTAACGAACATAAAAGAACGTTTAAAAACAATAGTCTAGATTCTAATTATTATCACTTAAACACAGAAAAACAAATTTTTGACGACAATTTTTATATTTTACATACAGCTACAAAAAGTAGAAAATTAACAAAATGAGACATTCAAATGTAATAAATAAAATATATCGATCAATTAGATTTAAATATATCTCCATTATTAAACTTAAATTCTCACAACAACATTAATTAATGTTTTATTGTCATTTTTCGGTATATATATATTGCATTTGCCGAAACAATTGTCATGTGAATATATATAATTTCGTGAAAATCTGAACTTTTAATTCTTATTTATTCAGTTTTTACTGAAGATTTCTGGATATAATTTAAGATTTTTAGAGAAAAAAACCCAAACCCAAAAAACTTTCAATTTTTCTACAAAAAAAAATTTTTACTTAGAATTTTTAAAAAATAATGGAACAAAAAGAAAAATTAAAAAACAAAGTAGAACAGATTGTAGTACAAAAAAGAAAAATAAAATTCATTTAAACCATCAGTATGACAAAATATTATTGGTCATGGTGACCGAAACAGATTATTGAATGAAATTAATAAGGCAAAGGGCAAGAAAAAATTAATTGTAATAAAACCAATTTTGACGAGTGAAATAAATTCTAGGTGTCAAACGGATAGATTTACAACCCACAACGAGATAACGAATTTACATTTATTTTAAATTATCAAGATCATTTAACCAAATTTGTTGTACTGCGCCCACTAAAAACCAAAACCGCGTCAGAAGTAGAAAAACTTATTTTATGCACCGCTAATATATTTTAGTGGCAAATACAACAATAAAAGCGAAACACTTTGAAAGTTGGCACAAAACAATGAAAACAGTTTTTTTTTATTTCATAAGAATACGCTTTTTTGTAGCAATTACAAAATATTTCTATAAATCTATAAATTGTCGCTGTCGAATACGTCTCGCGTATTTAGTTGGTGGTTCGTCAAAGGAGTGGAACTAGTGAAAAATAGAGCATTAGGTGAAAACATTTAAATGGCTGGAAGAAAAGAAAATAGCATGTGGCAGATAGATTTCCATTAAAACAACAGATCGAAATAAATCTAGGTGTAGAGCGATTTGTAAAATCTGCCAGAAAGAAATTCAAGAGATAATTCAAAGACTTAAAGTGCACTATGACATTCGTGATAATAAGCAACAAGAAAGAAATACAGGTGGGTAAATAATATTTTGTTTTATTACTTTCGTCACTTTATATTTAGCTTTCTATCTCGTAAACATTATCAAGAGAAATAAAGCATTTATTATTTAAAACAAGTCACGCTCATTTTGCCTTTTTTTGCCAAAGTTTGAATTCATATATATTTTATTTATGTTAATGTTTATAATTTCTAGATACTTATTTTTATTTTTTAAGATACATAAAAAAAATATTTCGCATTCATATCATGTAATTTCTTTATCTTAAGAAAGAATGCACACGATTTTCAACATACTTAAAGGTAACCGTATAAATTTAATAAAATCCAAAATTTTCGCGGTAACCATCTAGCTAGAGCGAGATTCTGTCAAGCAGGAGGCAAAGCTTTAGTCCTTCCAACTGATGTGCGATGGAATAGTGTTGCTAATTTCTTGAACTTTCCTGAAGATTTAAAATATTATATTTTTGTTGATACAGGGTGCCCCAAAAGTGTCCCCTCCCCCGACATCAACTTTGTTATTTTCAATGAAACACCCTGTATATTTTGACATTTTTGGAATACTTGGTTAAAATAAAGGTTAATTTCTTAAGAAATTAACCTCTAAAAAATAAGGTAAGTTTGTAATTTATCTTATATTTAAATTTTACTTAATTTTTGAGATATTCGGTTCGGTTTAAGATAACACACGTATAAATTCTTGTTGAATTTAAAGCATTAAAATATCAGGTCACTTGTTGGCAATATTAGGTATTTTTTAAATAGCAAATTCGTTACCTTGTTTAGTTAGCCTATAAACTTTAATTACATATTTTTGTTATTAGCTACTTTTAATCAAGATAGATAATTTACTATTAAATGTTATGAATTCTGAAGTTTTATGTTCAAGTTTGTAGTATAGAGTCGATTTTTTTCAAAATTTCCACGTATTAATGGACAACCTGTCTTGTTAGCAATAGGTTTTATTCGTATATCTGGAGTATTATATTCTTAAAAGACGTAGTACCATGTCTTTGCTATTTAAAAATTACCGAATATTGCCAACAAGTGACCCTAACGTGGGGGCAGATTTAATTTCAACAAGAATTTATACGGGTGTTATCGAATATTTCAAAAAGTTGAAAAAAATTGAAATATAAGATAAATTACAAACTTACCTTATTTTTTGTCCTAGAATTGATATCTGAATAAAAATATACGGTGTTCCATTTGAAAATCTTGAGGTTTTGTTAATTGAATTCGCCAAAACGGCACCACTTTTTTGGGACACCCTGTACAAGCTGAGGCGCATCTGTCAAACTGATTGAGTAGTGCATCATCTCCTTAGTCTGTGGTTAAATTTTCGTTGCAATGCCCATATCAGTAGCGTCACAACACAATTTTATATGGGACAATCAAAATACGAAAAAAAAACACACACAAGTGCGATATATTATTAAAAATCTGCGAAGAAAACAAAAACAGATTCGACCATTTACCAATAGGTGTCAAATATTGGGCTCAAACATGCAGCCCAAGAATAATTAAGCATTTTAAAAACAACATCAGTTGGTCTTGATATTTTGCAGAGAAAAACAGCAGTGGAAACATTAACAACATATGTTCGACAATGTGGTAGAATGAGTGATTAAAATAGCTCAACCCCACCTGTTATTACCATTGTAAAAACAAAAAGCCTTTATTCATATCTAAATATTACACATTAAGTTCCTCCTCATCTAAATTATTTTCGTAAAATTTACAGGGTCAGGAGGTGGAAAGTATCGGACAAAACACTTTTAAATTTGGTATAAAACAATGAAAAATTGAATGAGTAACAAAATTACCGACTTAAGTTAAAAACCTACCTTTTCTCTATTTGTCGCTGGAATCGATACCGATACACCATCAAGATTAGCATCGGATGAAATATTTACCTACGTTAAACGGGCGTGACGTAAGCGGGGCGATGAGAAAATGACAGACCGCTTTTTGTTTTCCCTCATAAAGAAAAATAAAACTCCGAATGGCGTTAATAAATTACAGGGCCGCGAAATACGAGGGAGGGACGATAGTAACAGGTTCCCGTCGCTCCTGCTTAGGCGACTGGCGCGTTCGCAGACAATAAGCGCCCCGTATATAACGAGACCGCGGGAATAAGACGCCTGAAGGGTCGCGCATAATTTATATAATTAACCCCGTCGCGTGGTGAATAATAAAAATCGCGACAACAGTTTCGATTTTTTCCCTCGGTTTTTCATCGATTATTTACGTCTGCTAAATTATAAATTCATCTCGAACGTTCCTTTTTCATATAGTCCGACATTGAGTGAAACTGTTAACTAGTTAGAACAACCGCTTAAAAAAAATTACAATTCGATCGGGCCAGACAAGATCGTTCCAATAGCACACGAATAAAAATAAAATAAAATATATTTTTTTGTTAAAATTGGAAATACGGAAGGTTTTTATAAAATAATCTTGTCACGCCTGTTCTAATTATTATTTGTTTTGTGTTATTTGCAATATGGATATACGATTGTTCTGCTTTTTCTATATGTTTTACAGAATTTGCCCAACTTTGTGGAGGGATGTTAAAAACTTCGGTTTCTAAAAGTTTGAGCACATTGGAGTTAACGGGAAAAAACATTGTTACGACGAATGGTAGATTTCAGTTGGTGCCACACATGTCCAATGGGATTAAATATACAGTGGTAAGGTGGAAGCCTTAAAACTGTATGCCCTAGATTTTTTGCATAATTATCACATACATATTCCTTTTGTAGGTTCAAGCTTTGTAGAACCTCGTGAAAATAAATGTCGTTATTTTACATGTAGTTTTGGATTGTTGCTTTTGTGTCACATGACGAAGGGGTTTTAGTCAACTGTCTACTGTGATCACTTGCTTTGTCCATTACAATGACGCTATTAGGACGAATGTTTTACACTTATCAGTTGAGTCAGCCCAACCCTTTTCCGGGGTATCATAAGTGTCGAACCAGGTTTCACCCAAGTAAGTAATTGGCCTTTGTTCTCTGTAAATCCTAATTTTTTCTAGATATTCCAGTCACCATTTCCGAACTCTAAAAGATATCATTAAAACTTGCCTTTTGTCAATTTTTTTTTAAATTTAAAACCCATGTGTTGAATACACTTTCATAAGGTAGTTCTGCCACATTTAAAGCCGGTTTCATCTTTTTCAAGCCTCCTAATTAAGATATCTAATGTAGGCACGCTTTGTTCCTCGTATAACTGGCAAATTTTACGCCGTATTATATATTGATCACTTTCATCTACACTCGTGAAAATGTCAGCATCGCTTCTTTTTTTCGTCGTTGTAATGGGATTATTTACAAATCTCCATACAGTTGATGTTGGAATTTTCGTCAATGTGGACGTTTCTTCTAAAGATGCTTGCTTGCTGGCACCACGTTCAATGAGAGTCAAATAAACATTGTTTATAACTTCTATAGTCTTAATAGAATAGTGTTTTCTACATTTGGGTGGGATCATCTAGTGAGATACACTAGACTCGCTCATATTTTGCATAATTCGCACACGATTCAACATTCGCTGTATTACACACGAAATAAGAATGATTACTAATAAACTTAAACTAAGTAGTATACCAAACCAAAGAATACAGGTAGATATAAAATTATTTTCTATTATGGACCACAATTTTACCTGAATTTAAATTTAGGTAATAATCTTATTGCATTGTATGTTAATGACCACCCTTGGATAATCCCATTCAAAAGCAATTGGTCACTTTCTTATATCTATGAACAGACCCTACTCGACTGAAGCCAGGGGCGGACTCGTCGCTGATAAAATGAACTGTTGCATCAGTATTTAGAAAGTGATTTTGAAAGCACGTTACTTAGGATATATATTTTTTTTATTATAAAATGATTTCTAAAAATGATATAAACATTAGAAAATTTAGTCAAAGAGCATTATAAATACAATTATATAAACCAAAGTAGTTTTAGAACAAAACTACAATATAAAAAAAAAGGTTAGTATAATCAAAATTCATAAATTACTGACGACTAAAAATATCTAACGCTTTGTTTACACAAACCGCAGCCATTTTAGTCACACAGAGAAACATTTGATAACATTGTGCTGGCTTTCAAATATCGCTTGGATCTTCATCGTATTGCGGAAAAGAGTTTATAACCTCCTCGGTAAACGTCTTAATCTTATTTGCTTATCTTAGATTCTGAATATTTTGTGGACATTAAGAATAAAATTAAATACGTTTATGATGGGCTTTCATATTTTTTTGTGGTACAAAAAAAAGAATTGACGTAGTTTTTGCACACGCAGCTGAAAAATATCAGTCTTTGCTATTATTGATTATTTTTCGGTTAGGTCGAGGGTCACTAGATCACTAGTCATACTATACTTATTAACTATACATACCTACTGTAAAATCTCGGCCGGACTTTCGAAATCGCGCGATACCGCCACGACTCACGCGCCACTCAAAAGAAAATCGGAGATACGGCGGGCTTCAAACTGACCCTTTACCCTTAACGACTACTTTACGTATGACGGAACGGCGATACGGCGTAGCGTTTTTAAAGTATCGCCCCCGATCGGGAATCGTGGTGAAACCGATCAATCTTGACGGCACGCGAAATAGCGTCGCGACGTCAGCGACGCCGGCCGAATCCCACGCTGTCCAATAGCGAACTCCTGGGTGTCCGACGACTCAACCCTTCGGTTTCGGCATTCGGGGCGGTGCGGAACGAAAATTAAATGGTGCCGGATTTTTTTGTTTTCTTTTGGTATTCGATCTCCTGAATGGCTACGTGAGTCCTCCGACACCACAATAATTCATACTTATAGACGACCTATTGGATTGGCTATGGTGGTACTTTCGAGGAAGCATGAAACGATCTTCTGCGCATGCCCTTAACTTTCGTACACTGTACACTTCATTTTCTTTCAGAACAGCGAGCTCCACACTCAAGACTTCTTTTCTTCTCGCTTGACCAAAGTAAACAATAATCTATCTAACGACCTTGAAATTTTAAAATCTAAATGTACGCTGTTCTGAAACCAGCAATCTTATTTTACGACAGCGCATTTTAATACATTCCCACCTGTGAAACAGCACATCCCTTAAGGCCTTAATTAATTTACTTATTTAAAAAAATTACTTTGGTTGGGCCATTCTCTGCATGAACAAAAAGAAAATAAATATTAACTCGTTTTTCAGAATCCGTGCATATTTTGAGAAAACACTCCTTGGTGACGTCGAAAATTCCAATATATTCCAGAACGTTCGTTTCGTTTTAGTTGAAACAATAAAGCAAACGTGAAAAAAAATTGCGTACGAAGACACAAGACATGCTCTTTTAGATCCTCAAATTTGCGTATTCTCTATTCTTATTATCAACGAACTGCAAAAATTTCACAACTCATGTTTAATTCAGAGCAAAAATTAACAGCACAACTAAGTACCGGCGACCAAATCATAGTGTTCCAATATGGAAAACAAAGGATTTTTATATATATTTTATAAAACAATTACAAGAGTTTTACTCAAGACCTCTTTTCTTCTCGCTTGACCAAAGTAAACAATAATCTATCTAATGACCTTGAAATTTTAATAATCTAAATGTACGCTGTTCTGAAACCAGCATACATTCCCACTTGTGAAAAAGCACATTCCTTAAGGCTGTACTTAATTCGCTTATTTAAGAAAATTACTTTGGTTATGCCATTCTTTGCATAAAGAAAAAGAAAATAAATATTCACGCGAAAACACCAACTTCTTTTAAATGACATTATTATTATAATTATTATTAATATAATTATAATTATTATTGTTATTATTTATTGTTTATCAGAAATTACATTTCCGCAACAAGAAATCCGCATCAGGCATAACATAAGCCTAAAGAAAACAAAATAGTAAACTAATAGGGATCTGTAACTTTGAATGCACATACAAATTATAGTTGTAAGGCACGGATCTTTAAATATATTTATAATAAGATAAGCACATCGGGTAAGTGGATTGAAAGAAATTGGTAAATTGTTTCAAATTGTTTAGTGTTAGTTACGAGAATTTCCAAAAAAAGTTATTACTCAATCTTAACTGTGAGATAATTTTTAAAATGGACGTGGGCAATTGGCAATTTAAATACCTGGGTGGTAGATCAGAGGGGGACTAAGTAAAAATTCGTATAGTGTGTTTGCTTCAAAAAGTTTTGTTTTAAAATATTCTAAGATGACATTCTTATGCTGTCTTAGAGTGATAAACGATGGATAACGCCACCACTCACCATAACCCAACCTACGAAACAGCTAGTGTTGATTGATCAGAGACAGCTGCGAAGCAAAGCACCTGACGTTGACTTAGGAAATAACAATAATCTTTAAAAAATTGGTCTATATTCGCTCAAGTACGTCGGTATAACGGAGACCTTCAGTGATATCGAACATTTTAGTGAACTTCGTTTAAATGACGTCATAGGACATAGGATAAGCTTTTGCTTATTTTGCTTATTTTTTGTGCAACACGTGACTTTTTGAAAGTGAAAAATTGTTTTTGGATTTTGCTTTTACAAAGCCATACATACATACACTGAATAAAACCGCTTTAATTAATTTCTAAACAAATAAAAAATAAAATTTTAATGGAATTTAGATCCCTTACTCTATTGTATTTTTATTTATTGTATATTTTATGTTTGTAATTTTAAGTTTCACATTGTTCTGCGCCTTTTTTTCTGCTTCTTTCATATAGATACATACATCATTAATGTAGAATACATAATAACTAAATATTCTGTATTGTCTTATCTTACCTAATAAAATTGTTGCTTAAAAATTTGCAATTTCTTTATTTTGATGTGGGATGTAATCATTTTTATTTTTCTCTCTTAGAAAATTTTTAAGAATACTAGATAACTGAAAAATTCTTTGTAGTGCCCAAACTAGAAGCACCGCGTCTGATTTAATACGACAAAACGATCGCACATTCTAAATAGATACGTGTTATGCAAATTGCAACTGTAAACGGCGCATAAATTTATTAAGCCGACGCTAATCGTACCCGGCTCGAATCCCACGCGTCACCGGCACACACAAGCAAAATTGAGGTTATGTCACTCACCTTGGGTATTTCCTCCTCGTTCCCGGACGATTTCCTCCGGTCCTTGTTTCGCCTCGCGCCCGGACTGTGCAACGTGTAATTAAACTTGAAATTCTTCCCGTTGGGTATCAGCAGGTGCCTGGTGGTAGCCCTTTTCGTCGCCAATCGTATAATACTCCTCAAATCGCAATCGCCGCTCTCGATCACGGTGTGCGATTGCCTGATGTATTTCTCGATCGACTTCAAACTGGATCCGTCCCGTTCTCCCAACTCTCTAACTGCTTTGGTCACGACCCGTGTCAGGTCCACCTCCTTCTGGACTTTGAGGGTGCGGTTCTGGAGCCCTCCCGGGTCCTTGTAAGAACTCTGGCCCTTGTTGAACACCTTCAACACGCTGCCATCCTTGACGGCGGCCTCCAGGTGCTCCGCGACCACGTCTTCGTGGTAGTTGTGGTGTTGACGGATCGCGTGACATATCCTCTCGACGCTAGGTCGTTGTTTTTGGGTACGGATCTTACCTATGGCGTCGAGAATCCACGCGGTCCACACTTCTTGGGCGACGTCTTCCGGTTCGTTCATGGTGTGCCGGTTGACTGAAAACATTGCGGTCGTTGCTTAAGACTACCATTTTCCGAAATCGACAGGGAATGTTCGTTCAACGCCCACCGCGATATGACAAAAATTCAAGGAACACAATCACAGACTACCAAAAACAAACCACATTGTTAAGTTGGTCACAATGGCTTGAATTAAAAGTTTCCGAGGACGGTTCAAAATTAGCAAGTTTGCGTGGATAATAATGTATTGATATTTAAATATCCAATAAGATTTTTAAACGCTTTATGGCACAGTTCGGGTCTATTCCCATTTTATAATTTAAAACGATTTTCTGTCAAATTAATAGGTAAAACAATTTGGTCGGTTTTGTTGTGGCTTTTGCGCTAAAAAAATTGTCGACACTCGAACATCAACAAACAATGGCGTAGAACGTTACACAAATATAACTAACAATGTGTCGACGACGAAAATAAAAACCGTTATAAACAAATTACGAGGCGATTTCGATCGCACTGCGAATTCGCGAATCCAAAGCCGGCGGAAAACGTCCCGCCAAGATAGACGTCTTTCCACGTCGAATTTCGGAAAAATTACCCGTCTTACCGTAAACTCGGATCGATCCAGGCACTAAAAAGTATCGAACGTACCGCAAAAATAACCTTAAATGGACGCATAACGGTTATTTTCGACGTTACGCCGCGTACACGGCTTCCACTGGCTGGCATTACGAATTCCGACGGTAGCCATATTGGGGCGATTACCAGGGAAACGATTTCTCGATTTAAACTCGCGTTGCGGGCAACGTGCAAGCCGATTCGTACATTAAATCAAAACGCCACTACTATCCGATCGATATTACGCACAATTAAGCACGATTTCTTACCTTAAATTGACAAAACGATGCAATTAGGACAGTTACTTTGTGGCTGCGTCCGGCGGCAAGTTCCCGTCGACTTTCCACATATTTAAAACGGTCGAGCTTCCAACTTGAGTCGACGGCAAACGATCGATCCCGCACTGTTTAGCTTTAAACGGAACTCGCCTCGCGGCGACAATAAAAAAGTCTATCGGTTCGAAGTAAACAACGTATTTGATCGCACATTTCTTTTCAGATAGATCACAACAAAAGGTTAATATTGTGACAAAATGGCCTGTTGCGAGCGCGCGCAATTCATCTCCCGCCGCGCCCCACCCGCCCCGCAGAGATCTTCGCCGTGGACACTTCCGTTCGTCAAAGACCGGTGCTCGCTGCGTTGCCAAACTGTCGGTCGTAAATTACCATAAATAAGTAACGGATTTTTAATAAAGCGATTTTAACACTGGGTTGGAAACGGCGCCGCGATTCGGTGTGAGTTACGGGTAACGCGACAATAAAACGGTAAGGGCATTCATTAAACACCGATATGTATTTGAAATGAAACTCCGGCAACGTCGATGCTCGTAAGCGAAGCCGCACGAAAATTGATCATGGGATTGTGACCACATGCAGTTTTATTTCGTTTGTTGACATATTGGACGCGGATTAATTGGGTAATTGATATTTTTCAGAAAAATTATGCGTCGGCATTTATCGTCGGTTTTGTTTCAATAAAGCTGTGTTTTTACAAAGCTTTCCCAGATAAAGCCATTATAAAAACACATTTATTTTAATTGGGTTTAGGTTTACAGTGGTCTTCTAATTTAGTTCGCTACTTAACTTGCTCTCCGACAGAGGGCTCTTGGAAGCATTGGCGAAGGTGGCTGCAAAACGCTTCAAAGTGGCAGGGGTAGATGTCACGTGTGATGATTTTGGCAAATCATTCAAAACCAACCAATTTATTTTCATGTAATAAAAAATGTTTATCCATAAAAAGAATGGATTTGCTTTTGGAAGTTGTGGCCGAATATGAATTGAAAGAGGAGTGCTCAACAGATTTGCGAAGGAAAATGGAATTCAGTTTTTCAAAGGGAATTTTTAAATCGGTTTTTGGTTAATTCTGCAATGTTTTAATTTCATTTGATAAGAATTAAATATTTCCAGACACTGCTTTAACTTGGAAAAAAGGTTCTCGTTAATCTGTTACTGGTAAGACTGGTTTTGGGTAGTTTAACTCTGATATTATTCAAAACTAACCAATAAATTTTTGTGTTATATAAAATTATTACCAATGGAAATATCAATATATCCATGGAGATGTCCATCTTCGTTTTTGAGAGTTGTGGCAGAATGTGCATTGAAGGCAGAGTAATCGACAGTGTTGCTTAAAAAACTAGCCTTGGGAGGAATTGAGATTTTGAAAAGGAATTTTTAATCGGTCTGCCAAGCAAAACAGGTGGAATATTATCGTTTTTGGTTGATTCTGCGATGGATGCTTTAACTTTATTTGGCAAGATTGATTAGATAATTCTAGGCACTGCATTTACTGGGAAATAAGGTTTTAATTGATCTATTACTGTTAAGACTTGTTTTAGTTAGTTTTACCCCGATATTATTCAAGACTAATCAATTTATTTTCATGTAATAAAATCCATGCTGATTTCGCTTAACTCTGCGATAGGTGTTGGTTGGATGGTTTACTTGGCAATTTGGAAATAAGCTTTTCGTGAATCTGTTACTGTAAAGAATAATTTTGGTTAGTTTGACTCCAATGTTATTCAGAACCAACTAATTTTCGTGTAATAAACATAAAATTATTATCAATCAAATAGGAATGGGATGACATTTTCATTTTTGAGAGTTGTGGCAGATTGTGCGTTAAAAGCTTTTAAAAATAATTTTAACTGTTATTGATGGTTTAATTTCATTTGACAAGATACATACATTATTCTAGTCCCTGCTTTAATTGGAAATAAGGTTTTCGCCGGCCTGTTGCTGTAAAAATTAGTTTTGGTTGGTTTCACTTTTCGCTACTGCTTGCTACTACTGCCTTTGTAAAAACTTCTGTAATTTTAACAATTTTAAATTTACCTTCTCCGGTTGGGAACGGGAAAGGAAGGAAACCGGGTCCAATATCAATAAAAAAACCCTTAGGAATCTTAAGAGGTATGTATTTTCTAACCTTACAAAAAACCTTATGCTACACATTTCTTCCTCCTACCGCCGCGATTCTTAAACAATTATAATAAAAAAAAGACTGTCACATGAACTATAAAATTATTCTAGGTCGTGATTCCCTCAATTTTCACATAGAGCCCACGATTACGATAAAAAAATAATGCATTCTGCAACAAATGCACACTTACAAACGACCCTTGCGTCCACAATTGAAACCGCGACTCCGCCCGCTCCCCCCGTTACTGCCTAATAGGGGGCGTACCTCCTAGTCGGTGATGGTCCTCTCAGTGCCGGCCTAACCCCAATGATATCAGTTAACAACGTAAAAGCCAACATCGTCGAACCACAGATCACCCAACAAACAGATAATATATGTATATAATTCGGGCGGTGGGAGAACCCACGCGCATTCCTGGCTTTCGATCCCGTGTTTTCACTTGAATCGAACAAAATCAATGGGAGCCCAGCCGACGAATGCGCATGGACGTTAATACAGGAATATAGATCGAACCATGCGCTTCTATATAAAGTAAAAAGTAAGGTAAACGCGGCCATCTTTTTACATTAGCCCCACTCCCATTTATTTTTTTTGTGCCACTGCAGATTTAAATAAAATTAATGGATGCTTCGATTAATACAATATTTATTATCATCGCTACAAATTCTTATATTAACATGTTTGATAAAAATAAGCTTTACTTCGTTGGTACTAGAAATTGAATTGTTCCGGATCCTTTATGCAGCATGAAATGCTCGCCTCGATCTCTTCCGTATTAGTAGTACTTCTCCGAGCATCCACTTAAAAAAATCTACGCCAATTAAAGGAGGCACTTTTCAAAAATCGCTCCTTTCATTCTATTCAGAAAATACTCAGTCTGGTCCCTTCCTTCCGCCTTTCCTAACACAACAAAATTCACATGCACGAGGACGACACTTTCATCTTTGTCCAATATACACAGTGGCACAAAAAAGAAAAACGGGGGCTAAACAAGCATAAAAATCAACCCCGTCTTCTCTACAAGTGTATTTTCAGCCGTAAATGCGAAAAACGTATTTTTTTTTTCACAATTAGGCGCACAGGTGACGGAAGAACTGTCAAATCACTATTTGATCGAATAAATTTGTCCTCTGGGCCCGGACTCGGGGAACTTTCCGAGAAGAAATTCATTGCGACTCTCGGACAAACTTATTTGCGTAAAATTAAGGTTTCGTCGCGACGTGTGGTTGTAGAAACGCCCTCACTCCGTTTCCGAGCGAAATACTATTTCGTTGCGATGGCGATGTAATAAATAGTGAGAAAGTTCGAAAACCACGCATCCCGTTGCAGTTGGAACTACGCGAAATAAACACGGTGCCCAAAATAAGGTCCTGGTCGAACACACTTCGTTCAGGCGTCCTCTCCTCCTCTTCGTCCGTATAACTCCTCTTCTCAACTAAATTAACCAATTTTTTTTTTTAGGTTCTACTGTGTCAAAATCGAGTTTTGAAAAAGTAGCAGCAATCGAAAAAAATAATTTTGCTTCCGATCATAATAGGGGCAATGTTGGGAAGGGAACATATTGTTTTTGGGAATAAATGTCCACCAAATGCAGTTGGGCACACTTACCGAAGACCTCCAAAAATATTGACAACGGTTAGTTGGGTTTAGCGTTTCCAGTTCCGGGATATAATCCAGAATTTTAATCCCGGGGCTTTAAAGTCTCGAGAATTTACCATTGCGTGACCAGTCTGCAAGTTGTGCATCGTGGTTACATTAACTATGCTCGTCAAGAAACTTTAGGTATGTTTTTATAATAAGAATAAGAATTTTAGTAGTTGCAGAGTAGAAGTGCCCGAGATTTGCAAACGCTAGCTATATAATCGAGGGAGATAGCAGTGTTTACATTTTAATATTCTATTGGGTTGTTCGGAAAGTCATTTCGTTTTTTTTGGGGAACATGAAAGACAGTTTTCGTATAATGAATAAATATTTTATTAAATTATATATTGGCCATTCTGGTCCAACACCTTTTGCCATCTTTCTGGCAGTAACATAATTCCCCTCTCATAAAAGTTTTGGTCCTTGCTAGCAAAAAACTGGTTCAGGTGGTTTTTGACATCTTCATTTGAGGTAAAGGTTTTGCCATCCAAAAAATTTTGCAGGGACCGGAACAAATAGTAGTCGGAAGGCGCCAGATCTGGAGAATATGGTGGATGTTGCAGTACGTCCCGTTCAAGCTGTAAAAGTTTTTGGCGAGTGACCAAACTTGTGTGAGGTCTCGCATTATCCTGGTGGAACACTACACCCTTCCTGTTGATTAATTAGGGCCTCTTCTCTTTAAGTGAATCATTCAATTTGTCCAGTTGATGACAATAGACTTCTGAATTAATCGTTGTATTGTCCGGCAAAGGCTCAAAAAAAACGATTCCTTTGACATCCCACCAAACGGAGAGCATCACCTTTTTTTGGTGAATGTTCGCTTTTGACGCGCCTTGAGCCGGTTCATCTTTTCTGCTCCATGACCTCTTGCGTATAACATTGTTGTATACAACCCATTTTTCGTCCTCAGTAATAATCCGCTTCAAAAATGGATCATTTTCTTGACGTTTGAGGAGCGAATCACACACGTCAACGCGACGACACAAATTTCGCTCCGTAAGGACATGGGGCACCCACACATCGAGCTTCGAGGTTAAGCCCATGCCTTTCAAATGGCCATAAACAGTCGAATTCGACAAATTTAATCTCTCACAGATTTCTCGTGTGGTTATTCGCCGATTTGCATCAAATAATGCCTTTATCGCATCTTTGTCAGCTTCGACCGGCCTTCCAGACTGTGGTGCATCTTCGACATCAAAATTGCCGGATCGAAATTTTGCACACCAGTTCTAGCACTGGCGTACTGTTAACACGCCTTCTCCATACACATCCGTCAATTTTTTTCTCGCTTGAACAGCATTTTTACCTTTTCTGAAGTAAAAAAGTAAAATATGACGAAAATGCTGCTTATTGCTCTCCATATTTAAAAGGGCACCAACCAAAAACTACTGCGTAGAATTAATAGAACTTTTTCACACACAAGCCTTGCAATATCAGCTCTCAAGACATATAATGGTTATGCGGCTTAAGTGTGAAGTTGGTTTCGAAAAAACGTAATTAAGTCCTCTGACGGGAAAAAACGAAATGACTTTCCGAACAACCTTATATATACTCATAATAATGTTTTTTGTATTCACAACATAGGTAAATAAGAAATTTAACTCATTATACGTCAACAAGGTGTCTTGCTAATATTCCGATACACATTACCCATGAAATGTGTCTTGTACTTACGCCCCCGCTTTTGCTTAATTTTTGCCGGAAATGTGATTTTTTGAAGAGTGAAAAGGTATTTGAATATTTCTATTGCAAAGAGCGATACCAAAAATGCCACAGTATTGTATCATTTGATGTCATAAGGTGTACTTATTTTCTTGCTTTTTGTATTGACTCTTAGTATTATGTGGGGATGTCTAATGAGAACGTTCAAATCATCAGTTGAACTGAGGTGGCGAAATTATATATATATTTTTTTGATATGACAATTGTTTCGACAACACCGTGTCTTCATCAAATGTAATATTTATAAACTACCTGCTATTATATATACCGAAAAATGACCATAAAACCTTAATTAATGTTGTGAGAATTTAAGTTCAATATAGGAGAGTTATTTAAAACTAATTGATCGTTTTCATCGATCTCGTTCTCTCGATCGATGTCTCATTTTGTTTTCATTGCTTCCAATAAATTTGATTTTCTACTTTTTGTGGCTGTATGTAAAATATCCAAATTGTCGTCAAAAATGTGTTTTTCTGTGTTTAAGTCTGTAGCATAATTAGAATCAAGACTATTGTTTCTAAAAAGGATCTACCTGTTTGTCTAATATAAATTTTAGGATAAGATCCGCATTTCACAATCTGTAGACACCTGATTTTTGAGATTTTGGACATTTCGTTTTTCCAAATATTTTCCTATTGTGTTGTTAGTTCTGAAAGGTATTATATATTAAACCACATTTCGACAAATGTTTTGAAACTTTTTCACTAGGTTCCCCTATGTATGTAATTGTTTTAAATTGTTCGTGTTCTATATTAGGTTTCGGATAAAAAGAGGTTGCTGTTGTCTGGATTTGTTTTTTATTTATAATTTTATCTATAATGGACTGATTGTAGCCGTTGTTTAGTGCAATTTGTTTAATGCTATTAAGTTCTTTGTTGTAATTTACTGTTGAGAGTGGCGTATTAAGAAGTATGTCTATAAAAGAGTTAAATGCAGCCATTTTGTGTATATAAGGGTGATTTGAGCTGTTATGTATGACTGTGCCCGCGTGTGAAGGTTTATGATATATTGAAAAATCTAATTTGTGTTGCGCTTTCGTAATAGTTAAGTCTAAAAAATTAATGGAGTTATCCTGGTCAATCTCGATAGTGAATTTTATACGATTGTGTAATGAGGTAATGTAATTTAAAAAAGAATTCAATTATCTGTCCGTTCCACCAAAGCAAGCAAAGACATCATCCACGCATCCATACCACCATAAAAAACTTTTACTTAAAGGACGTTCTAGTATGATATTTTCCAAATTATCCATAAAAATCTCGGCTAACAAAGGACTAAGTGGGTTTGCCATAATCAAAGCTTCTTTAGAGATATAAAGCTGTCCATTAAATTCAAAATAATTTTGGTCTAATAAATCTAATAAATCTTGTTTCACCAATGGGTTAACCTGTTTCCGAGATAGCGTGAAATCTGCTAAATCAATCACACCCATAGGTGAAATACTGGGAAATAAGTTTTGTACATCAAAAGACGTGTTGCGTTAGAAGGGATGTTGATATATTTAATTTTGTTGACTAATTCAAACGAATTTTTTATTGCATTTGATTACATTTGATTGATTGTCTCGAAACAATTGTCATGTCAAAATATATAATTACGTGAAACTATGAACTTTTAGTTCTTATTTATCTTGTCAAATCATCAGTTTTGCATTAAATGTGGTTTCCATAGCAACCATTAATTTTCAGACAACACTCCGTTCACCTTAGAAGTCTGGTTTATCACACTCCAGTTAACACTGTAGACGACCCAAAGGATCGCACAAGAGCTTCCTGCGATTTAATAAGAAACACTCTAGGTATACTTCAAAAAGTGCGCGGCAATATGAGGAAAAGAGCTGAAGCGTGTATCCTTCAAGGTAGAGGACACTTTTAACAACTTATCTAGTCCTATGTTCTACTTTTTCTCAAAAATGTTGTTACAAATTTATTAACAATTATTGACAGTAGGTAGTTTTTTTTTTAAATAAGAATCGTTTATTATTTATCTTGTTTTTAGAATGTTATCTTATTTCATGAAAACTGTCTATTTTTTTTTGAAGGACACTAGTTGATAACTAAAAACTTGATTTTTTGTTATTTTGTCACACAAAAAAGTTCTCAATTTAGCTAGCGTCGCGGCGATCTCATTAACCAAAATATTATTTCGTTTTTGCATTCGTTTATAAGCGCATTTGTGTCTTAATATACATAGTGCATGTGCGTCAATTGTTTTACAGATATTACATGTTTCAAATTTATTGACATTCAATTAGAAAACACCTTGTATAACAAGAAACGTCGATTTCTTAAAAACCTACTGAATCAGCGTTGCAGTTTGAGTTTTATAATACGCGAAAACTTACAAACACCTTGGACGATATTTCTGGAGGTCTGGTGATCAGGGATTAGCATCGGGCAGCTACAACTACGTATTCGTTTAGACCAAATTCCGAGATCGTTTTGGACGAATATGAAACAGTTCATCGCTGAAAAAGTAAGGCCCTACTCGATCGGGCTAGGGGATATACGATCCAAAGTGGCGCAGCCGTATCATCTGCTTGTTGGTTGATCTGTGGTCGGGCGCATGCTCACCTTCTCTCGTCGAACGAATCCCGGCTAAAGTCCTCGTACATTCTGCTCATCCTCGAGCTGGTCAGGGTGGCGGTCGGTGGCGGCGACCGTCTGCTAAACATCGTGTACTCGCTGCTCCGCGCGAACGTCGGATCGCTCATGCGCGCGCTCAAGCTACTCGAAGGTGAGCCGCGCAGACCGATGGAGGGCATCGGAGGCAGCGGCTCGCGTCGGGGCGGCAGCGGCGGCGCGAGGAACTCGCGACTACCGCGCAGACCCATTTCTCGGCTGCCGGGAGGTAACGCGGCATACCGCCGCTCGTACAGTTCGCGCGAGTCTTCGGGGAACCGCCTCTCGTAGTAACCTTCGTAACCGTCCTGATAAAAGAAAAGAAAAAGCCGGCGTTAACGTCGGGCACCGGGAGAAACAATCGCGACATAAACGCGGGGAGGTCCGGCGAACCACCCGAACTCAATCGACAAAACGAACTCGCCGGCAAAATAATCGATCCGCTCAATTTGATTTGTTTTAGTGTTGTGTCAATCGTTCATTTTACGAGGACCGAATCATTTCGATCAATCGTTCATTTCAATACTTTTTGATGCCCACATAAGACGCAATAGTCACTGAATCCGGAGAGTACCAACGACCAATTCAGATTCATTTGATTTTGAATTATTATAGCATCTATATGTTATGTTTTCTGTTCTGGTTCGTATAATATTTAGCGGTGTTCTGCTTTTTATTTAATCATGATTTTATAAAAATAGGTGCTACGTATTGCGTTGTACCAGTAATAAATTTTTTTTTTAAATTAGATAAGTGTGTGGAAATAGATATTTCATTCAATATTTAATTCAAAAAAATCTACCAATCGATGTCGCAACTCAGATAAACAAAACAGTTGTTAAAACCATAAAAAATACGAGAAAATTTAGAATAATAACATCGAGCGTGATGGTAAAACGGTTATTTTGATTTCCTTTTCTTTGTTGACTTCCATGCCGTAGGGGACGTAATTTTATACAACCTTACTCGAAATATCTTGCCTTCCATTTGCTGTTGAAATTTGAAAAATGTACAAAAAAAGGGGGCAGATGGGCTACAAAACTATCCTTTCTTCTGGTACTGTAACCTGACAGGGCAATTATACATAACAAATTTTAACATAATATGTAAAAAACTGGAATGTTACTTTGACGCCCCATATTTTACCAATTTTTTGACTAACCTTGTGTATATAACGGCTAATTTGCGATGCCCTACGACTTGTATTTTTGAATACAGAATGGAAAGACTCTTCAAAGAGATAAAAATATACAGGTTTGTTTTACATTTACATTTCATCATTTTAAGTGGCCGATTCGACTTCCTCGTATTTTCAAATAGTGGTACATGCGTGTGAAAGCTGAGCAATCTTTGTGACGTTTTCAATCACAAGGAAAATTTTCTCATTTTATCGAGTCCTTTAAACAGGAAACATGTTGATAGTTGATTAAAAAGAAAGAATACTGAAATAAAATTATTAAAAATAAAATAATTTTATACCACTACAACTTTTTACATGTGAATATCCTGCTTTTGTTTTTAACTAGTGCTGTGGTTTCATGTTGTAATAATCTCATCTAAGCGTAAACAATTTCTAAAATTATCTGGATGAAGTTTTAATTCATTTAAGAGAATTATAAGGGATGGTTGATTTTTTTTAACAATGACGTTCACCCACGCACGGCAGTCAGTCCTTGTCAAAACTGAAAAAAAAAGTCCGTGCACATCTTTTAGTTCCGTGAAATCAGCAGATATTTCTGAAAATCTGATTTTTTAGCACTTTAGCAACAAATTAATCTAAAAAACATTCAATATTTGACTAAATAACTATTCCAGGATCTCATCCTCCCTTCGTTAATTGCATTCGACAAGCTCCATTGGTATTTTAAAAACATGAGGCATAAAATAAGTTCTTCAAAAAAAGTGTCAAGTATCAAAAAGTACCGGAATGGCTAAATATCTCAAAAACCACCATAGCTGGAAAGATAAGATAAAATTAAATACCTGGAGGTTTTTGAAGAATTTAAAAAGGCGGAGATACTTATAATTCTGGTAACGTTTCAATAGTACACTATTTTCTATTTCAAAAACAACACATATCTCATGATCACTTTGCTACAGAAAAAAACGAAAGGAAACTTAAGCAACCATTTGCTAAGAAAAGGATGGGGCAGCGAACATTTCTAGATTCTAGATTCGACTATACATTGTCTAATTGGTTAGTGAAAAATTGTCCCACACTCACTAAGTTGGAAGCTAAGGGTTATGTTGAGGTAAAAGCTTGAATCTTATGGGCAATGAACAATTGATTATTAGTATGCATGGCATGGCAGATCTGGAGATATTATGTTAGTGTTGGGGTGCTTTTTACTGAAAAACCGGCGTTGCCCAGTTCAGTAATTAACAGAAACAAAATTTTGACATTATAACACTCGACATGTTGAGGTATTGAATTTCATCATTGCAGCTTTGCCAGTCTAAGAGTTTTTAGTACCCTGTATACTATTTTAACTTAATAGTTTTTTAATTACTAAATCCGTGAATCCGTAAAATCTGAAACCGGTGAAATTTTTGTGAAATCATGTTTGCGTGAAATCTGGGGTGCCAATTTTGGTGGCTGATTTGACCCGATCCTTTTAAACTTTCACTAAAATTCTTAATTGGGATTTAAAATTAAATTTTGACGTTGCGTGGCGCGCGGATCGATAGTTCCGCCGCCCGAAAAGCGCCGAACTCCCGAAACGTTCCCGAACGCCGAACCCCCCCGACCCGATCTTAACCGAGACGACCCGAATCGTAAAATGGCTGCGCGCGGGTCTGCACGCGGATTCATTCGAAAAGTTTCGACCTCGTCCACGGGCGAGTCGAGGAGAGAAAAGAATGATTTTGATTTTTTTTTTCGAAAAAGGTGTCTGTGTCGCGTTTTACCCCAAATCGGCCCATCATCCGGTCGCGTAGGAAGGGCGGCGGCGGCGGCGGAGGGTAAGGGTCGCGTCCAAACATGCGCTCGCGGAACCTGTCCGGACCGACCCCTTTAGGACACTCCTTGGACCAATGCCCCCCGCGGCCGCAGCGGTAGCATTGTTCCGGATCGCCCATGCCCGGCCGTTGTCTCACGCGACTCGTCGACAGTTGCACTTTCATCGGTTGCCCGTCGACCATCATCCCGTTTAATTCTTTGATGGCCTCGTTAATGTCTCCCGACGACTCGAGATGGACGAAACCGTAGTTGCGCACTATGTCGCACTCCACCACGGTGCCGAATTTTTTGAACAACTCGCGTATCTGCGGCGCTTTGGTGTTATCGGTGAGGTTCCCGACGAATATCTTGGTGGTCGGCGTCTGCGGCGCCTTCCGACTCTTCGCGGCCTCGCATTTCATCGATTGGCCGTTCAACATCGTACCGTTCAAGTTATTGATAGCGTCGCGTCCTTCAGTTTCGCTCTCCATGTGCACGAACCCGTAATTCTTGACCACGTCGCACTCCACAACCTTGCCGTATTTCTCGAATAAGGGCCGTAGTTCCGAAACCGTCGTTTTCTCGGCAAGGTTGCCGATAAATATTTTGAACGTGCCCGCACTGCTAAAACCCGGCATCTGAAACACCTCGAATTATCAAACACACACGTCGCCTTCGCCGTGCGGTCGCGTTTCTTCGCGCGTTGCACATTTCCCGCGATACCTTCCCACTGCCATTTTATCACGACCCAACACCGAATCGATCGCGGCCAAAGAACAACCCGTATATAGACGCGGCGCGACGGTGTAGGAGTGCCTCGGTTTACCAAAATGGCCGTCGGATGCTATCGAGAAAAACCCGCAAAGTTGTACAAAATAAAATAGTAACGGCGGCGTAGCGGTATATTGCAGCGTGTATACGATACGGAAACGGCATGAATTGAAACTGAAGCATACTCGATGGTCGGAAAAATCGACGAATCAAACGTAACGCCGCCCGGTCACCGTAGCCGACGAAGCGCACGACGGAAAGACGGCAACCAATTCGACAAACGCCTCTTACCTTAACCTCGCTCTGTTCGGGTTCAATTTTTGCTGCTTTATTGGAACGTGGGGTAACGAAAAAAACTCACAACGGCACACTTTGACTGGACTAATCACACCAACATCAAGCGACGTGCGACAAGCAATGGCGTGTCTGGCCTTCAAAACGACGGAAGTCTCGACCGCCCCCTCCGCAGAAAAATCATCACCCGACCAATCCCGATTGCCGGTTTGCGTTTGCAGCGCCCTCGGTCGGAGAGTTCCGAGCAACTTCCGTCCCAGTTTGAGCGGGATATTTTGAATGTCTCGTTAAATTGGGATACCGGCTTGCACTTTAAAACATTGAAAGCGGCTATTATCGAATTTGGAAAAAACAAAAATTAAATTTGTATTATTCTTTACCCACAGTCACAAGCATATTTCGTTCTCTGAAGTTAGCCCAGCTGTCAAAGATAAATGTTTTATCTATGCCTTTGCGCCGAAAGTTAAAGGTTTTTGCATCCCAATTTATACATATTAGTGCCGTGTCACTTTAGTGAAAATAAAAAATCGTTGCCTTAAAATCTTATGGACCTTTCACGCAAGCCGGCGCAGTAGCAATTTGTTTAAAATCAGTGTTGCTTCAGGGTCCCTTTCGAGTTTTTTTTTTTTAGTCGGGAATGATAGTTTCTGTATTTCACTGACATCCTATAGCAGTAATTCCCTATCCTTTATTGGTGAAACAAATCATCTTGTGGTATCACTAATCGAAACTAATTGGCCCTGGTATTGGTAAATAGAACTTAAGATTTCAAGTAGCCTAAATATGGTGAGTTGCCTGGAACGGGATTTGTTTGTAAATAAATACGCTAACCTAACTTTTCGGTGAGTGCGTGTTCATATTTGATGAAATAAAAGACCAACGTTAATGTACTAAGCTACATATATTTGTTACATTTTGTTACACCTTTATACACGGAGAAAAACAACATCCAAAATATCAGTCTTGCTATTAAAATTACAAACGAACAGACTTACGCAACCATTCGGCTCGATAAACTCTAGACAAATTAAAATAATTACGCGAGAACGATATTTACAAATGTAAATGCACATTCCAAGAGTCTCTCGGCCTATTTACTTTACAATAATAAAAACTAAAAACGCAAAATTAAACGCGAATGGTCGAGTATACAGACAAAACAGAAACAAAATGTCATCCTAACCAAGAAATAAAAAAGATCTTTGAGCAACAGCGAAATTTTGTTTTTCTTTTCCGAAAGCCGAGTCAATGGTGCAATTTTAACGAGTGTCGTTTGAAGTTTTGGTGCTGCTTTGCCGAACCATTCTGCGATCCGTTTTGACACAATAACCCGGTAAAGTATACGCGACGATGGCACCACGGTAGGAATCATCCGGCACGTCCTACGGCACAGAGGTAAGGCTTGTTTCGATCAACTTTGCGACTGCGTAGTACTAAAATAAGTTCAAGTTTGTTCTAATGGTACTCGGGACATAGCGACCAACCTTCAATTTCATGGCACGGTTATCCTATTTTAATGGTTATTTGGTCGAACGTTTATGTACAATCTCACCAAGTTACAAGGTCCACGGCGCACAAACTTGTGCCATTGGGATTTATTAAAGCGTTATTGTTGTATGACTATTTATTTATAAATAAGTTCAAAGATGTATCGTTAATGAAGAGAGAATGAATCCTGTTTTTATAAATAATTAATCGAGTATCTTTTCTTTTATTAAATTATATATGATTAGATAAGCAGTGTCTGTATTTATTGTATAATGTATCCCCACAGTACCAATAGACATTTTGAATTCAACTAGACGTTGGAAAGTAGGAAGTTAAGTTATTGTAATTTGTCAAATCGTTGATGTGCAAAACGGTCCAAGTACAACTTTATGGCGTGGAGCCTCGCATAAATACGAGTAAATGGAAGGGCGGTCGCTTCTTCTCGTTCCTTCGAGAAGGCTTCCCGAGTCCGTTTTCGGTTATTTTCGCGGAAATACTCTTCTAATATAGAAAGTACGGCACCGTACTTAACGCGACGACGTTCCTTAGTTTCGGATCAAGGTACATTTGGACTACTTAACGATATTTACAACCTTAACGCTCTGATATTTACAAGTAAGTTTAAAGCTTTGCGTCTGTACATCACACACACACACACACACACTAAACTATATTCACGGTGACGTCGGGCTCTAAACGTGCCAGCGTCTTTTTCACCCGTAACGTGGTAAGACGGGCGTCCGGGCTGTGGTGCCAGCACTCTTGCATCACCTTCGACATCGTCCTCAGCACCGGGTCCGTTTCCCACCTGAGCGGTACCTGGGGCCTCAGTTTCTTTACGCACACCGCTAGGGACATGTCGTCGCAACTCGGATCGCTAGGCACGCAGTCGTAGTACGGTACCGCGTAGTCGTCCGCGATTTTCAACTTGTCCCCGGTCACGCACCTCCTCGACATCTCCCACATCACCAGGCCGAGCGCGTATACGTCCGCTTTCCGATACGCCTCGAAGTTGTTGACGTCGATGCTTTTGCTGAGCAATTCGGGCGCCATGTAGCGTCTGGTACCGCTCCTGATGTTCGGCGGCACTTCGATCTCGTTCACGTCGCTCAGGTACTTGACGGCGAGACCAAAGTCCGCTATGCAACATTCTCCGTTCCGCTTCACCAAGATGTTCTTGCTCTTGATGTCGCGGTGCGCGATGGCGGGTTTGCCCTTGGTGCCGATGATCTCCGTGTGCAGGTGCGCCAGACCGCTGACTATGCTCCTCGCCATGACGAGGAGACCGTTGGATTCGAGGCAGTGGTCCTGGAGGTAGTCGAACAGCGATCCCTTCTCGTGGTACTCGGTAATAAGGAGCATCTGGGTCCAGCTGCCGGTACCCTTGATATCGGCGGCGATGAACCCGAGGATATTCTCGTGCCGCATCAGGACCGTCTGGTAGATCTCCGTTTCTCGGAACCAGCTCGCCTCCTCGGTCGTGAAGAACACTTTGACGGCGACCCTTTCGCCACGGAACCGCGCGAGCCACACCTCCCCGTAACGGCCCTTGCCCACCGACTGCACCATGTGGATCTGTTTCGATATCGTCCTCTGCACTAGAATCGGCAGACCGGAACCCGAACCGCTGGACTGCTCGATCAGACTCGTCAAGGGGCGGTGGATGTCGACGTTGGGACACTTCTCCGACGGGTAACCCTTGGAGTAGAGGCCGAACTTGCCGTGGGCCTCCTTCTTGCGGTACTTCATGTATACGAACGCGATGCCCAGCAGGAAGACCGTGAGGCAAAACGTCACCGACGTCAGCAGGACGATGAAGGGAAGGTTGTCTTGCGTCCCGAATCCGGGCACGTCCGGTTCCGGCCGTTCCGGGTAGCTTATCTTCAGGTCGCGGTTGCAGAAGTCCGCGTCGTCGCAACACTGGATCGACTTGCTTTGTCGGTGGGGCACCAGGTGGCCCTTGCACTGTAAAGGGAATCAATATGAATGGGGCATCAGAAGATTTAGCTCGATTGTTTTGGTGGGTAGAAAGGAAAAACAAATATTAGGGAGGTACGAATTGAAGAAAATTCCAAGCAAAGAAAGAGACGGAACACCACACACTAACCTGCATGAAGGTGCCGTCGTCGGGGGGCAAGCAGCCGTACCGTCGCAGCGGGTACTCGACGCCGTCGTCGTTGATGGCGGCCTCGACGTCGGTGAAACACATGCCGCCCGGTTTGATTTCGCAGGTCCCATTGCTTTGGCGATTCGGGCAGTGTCCCTCGCAGTAGCACTTGCGCACTGAAAACAAAAAAGAATTATTTAGTAACGGCAACCCCGCTTTCCGAGATTAAAACTAGCAAAACCCGTTTAAATCGCCAAAATATTTACAGTCAGAGAATAAATACAGTTCAGAGCACATAGAGAAAGGGAGAGAAAATATATAGATTGATATAGAGAGAAAGTTCAGAAAAAACAGAAAGAAAAGATATACAAAAAGAGAGATAGAAAAAGAGAAACAAAAAAAGAAAGAAATAGAGAAAAAGAGTAAGAGATGGGAAAAAAGGAAAGAAACACAAGAGGGGGGGGGAAGGGGAAAGAGATAGCAAACAGCAAATTTGCAGTGACTGGGATTAGAACTTCAAAAAAGCACTTGTAATTATTACTTTTTGACTGCGACTTTTAAGTCACTGAGAACAAGACCATTTCCCTAGCTTTCGTGTAAATTTAATTTCCACCTAAATATCTTTTTTTTAAATAATTATGTATGTATTAGAGAGATACTTTTTTCGAAGGCGACCGCATTCTCGAAGTGTTTATATCAGATCGCACGTTTTTTTTTTTCATTTTTTTATAATTGAACGGCTTGTCTCTATTGTACCGGCCGTTCGGGTCCGCCGAGCCGAAAATATGTGGAGAGTTTAGTCCGGACGGACAAAGCTAGTGGCACACGTGGTCCGCTGGTATCGCCAACGTATATTTACAATAAGTCGAGCAACGGGTTCGTAGTCGCGATTTATCGCCGCGACCGGCTGGCGTGACTTGGAATTTTTCGTCGTAGCTATTATGCGCCCGAAGTCTAATGCCGCCGCTGCAGCCGCCGCGGCGACTTTCTATTCCACCGAAATTGGCGAACGCTCTCAACGCGGCTCGCTAAACGATAGGTTATGGAACGAAAGGCGTCGCGAGACCAAGGGCGAGGTTCCGGTATTTCAAGTACGTTCGGAAAATGGAAAAAGCAGCTGAATCAAATGCGCACGCTTCAAGTTACGCGATACCCGAAACGTCGCGTCTCTCTTTGTTAACATGTCTACACTAATACACATCTCAATGGCCTCGTATTATCTACGTATTTCTATCTTAATCTGCGACATGCAAGATTCTCAAATTTGGAAAGTTATCAGATGTAAGAACTGATATTATGATTCGAAAAGCCGAAAAAGCAACTGAACCAAATGCGTGACTAGTTAGAAACAAGGACGAATTTTATATATCTCTCTCTCTGTTTTAATATACCTCTATCCTATTAACTGACAGATTCTTCACATTGATGTTACGGGAGAGATATCCCTCTATCCATTTTGTCTTCTCCATTCTATATACGTATCACTATCTGAACGTGCAAGATGTGAGATTCTCAAATTTGCAAAGCTATCATATGTCCATCTATCTATCTCTAAAATAGTTAATTCAGATATAAGAATTGGTAATACTGTGGTTCCAAAGAAGGAAAAAGCAATGGAACCAAATGCTTTCGTGACTATTAATGAAAAACGCAAAATTTTATCTTTCTGTGTAATTTTTAATATACCTCTATATAATATATATCGATTATCTGTCAGATGCTTCATATTTATGTTACGAGAGAAAATTCTTCTATTCATTTTGTCTTCGTCATGCTACGAGAGCAGCGCCAAAATTTCCTGTCCTGAATATGAAAGAAACAAAGTAGAGTAACAATTTTTTATTGTTTTTCAATATAATCCCCATTAACTTCAATACACTTATTACATCTCTTTATTAACAACTCAATCCCTTTTAAAAAAAAATTCTTTTGGTTTGTCTGCAAAACGAGCTAAAACAGCCTCCTTTAACTCAACTTAAACCGCCGTCCACGTAAGTCCTTTTTCAAATATCCAAACAAATAATAGTCGCTGGGGGCCATATCTGGACTATAGGGAGGGTGATCTATCTGTTGGAACCCACACTCTAAAATGGCAGCTTGTGCAACACCAGCAATATGGACAGGTGCATTATCGTGCAAAAGACGCACGCCTCTGGTCAGTTTTCCTCGACGTTTTACAAGTATGCAGTCTCACAATTTATGTAATAATGTTGCGTAATATTTCCATTGACAGTGGTATTAGTTTCTTTAAAATATATCAAAAGAATTCCTTCACAATCCCAAAATATCGTGGCCATCACCTTTTTTGTTGACTGGCAGACTCTGAATTTTCTTGGTGGTGCTGCACCCTTACGAGGTCACTCCGTTGATTCTTTTTTCGATAGAGAATCATAATAGAGAACCATAGTTTCATCTCCCTTCAGAATAGTTTCTATTACAGGCTTCGGTTCCGACTCACAGAGTTCTAAAAAAGGCCGCGCACACTCGACACGGCATTGTTTTTGAATAGCCGAAAGGTTTTTAGGAACCCATCTTGCACTAACCTGATGCATACCTAAATGATCATGCAGGATTCGACGAACACTTGTATCAGAAAGCTTAGTAATTTCTGAGATTTCCTTGACCATTATACGTCGATCACTCATTCGGATTCGGTGTATATATCTTTATCTACATATCTTCATTTCAATTGCACAATAGTAAGTTTACGCAATACCTCCCCTCTTTAATATCACATCATAGTGACGTTGCGCTCACTTTTGTTTCTCTTTCTATTTTAACCTGCACTTTGTCGTAACTATTTCTAAAGTAGACACTTCGGAGATTATCGATATTAATGGACGGCGCTGGTTGATCGTTTAGCGATACGAAGGTCCCCTTGGAAAAAACCGATTATCAAGAATGTCAAAAATTTAGTAAATCTTGCCCTTTGGACCGGCGACTCTATTACCCAAACGCGTTCGGGAAAACATTTCGAATTACTGAACCAAAGATAAACGGAGGTTAAATATATAAAAGATATATTACGACGGTGTCTCGGGTTCTACGACGCTACACCACGCTTGAGCCCGTCGCTTTTCGATTCAAACGGAATCGAAATCGGAGTTCAGTCGCGATGAATTAAAAATGTCGGTTTATCGGAAACCCATGTATAATAAGGTCAAACCGTTCGACAGCGCTAGCGATGAATTATTTTTGCAGACTTTCTGTAGTAGAAAAATATCTTCTATCGAAACACTAACGCCAGAGGCTCAATAGGATTAGGGTCTGGCAAGTTTTATCACCATCTCGTACAATTATCGCCCGCCCAAAGAATCTATTTACAGGGTGTCCAATTCAACGTACGGCCTTCGAAAGGGAAGAGAATTGTTTTCGACGATTAAAGCGCACGAAAGCGATAAAAGCCAATCGCGTTCCAATATTACGAATTCTGTTTACGTTCGAAACGTTTTCACTGAGATAAAATCGCGTAAACATCGCAAGATAGAACGTGGCGCCTCTCGGTCGAAACCACCTGGAAACAAACCTCGTCGTACCCTCTCTCTAACCACCCGATTGGGGAACGTCTCGTAGGTTTCTACGTCGCAATCGAACGTCGACGACTTACCGGCCGCAAGTACCTCGGTGACGTACATCTCCACAGATCACAATGGCATAGTTTTTGGTGTCACTTTTCGCGGAATTCGCCACCAGATTGAGAAAACGACACACCGACGCGTTAACCTGAATAACGAAACCAACTGACTACTACTGGATTCCGATACGACTCGAGCCGAGACGAAAGTCGATCCGGCGTTGCCGGCTCGTAGCTCTTCCCCCGCAAAGTACCACCCAATAACGCCGTACCGAGTTGCGGAAAAATTACGTCACAATTATCTACTATAGCTATCTACTAGCGACGTCCGTAACTTAATTAAGCCACTCTAATCTAAAAGGTCAACAATTATGGCAGTTTATCGATAGAAGAAGTAGATTTAGGGAGTTACTAAGTTAGGTATTAAATTAAGCTAGTCTATTCTAAAACGCCAACATTTATGGTGGTTCATGTATTAGTAGTAGAAAAGGAAGAACGACTGAATCGTCGATCCTTCCTCCATAGAATAAATAGATTTGAGGAAGTTACACACTTGAAGATGTTAAATTAATTAAGTTACCTTATTGAAAAACATGAACAATCTTGGCAGTTCATGTATTGGAGGTAGAAGAAGAACGATAGGATCTTCCATAGGAGAGGCAGATATAAGAAATTACCAAGTTAGGCATTTGAAGCTGTTAAAGTAATAGGTCCACCTTATTCTAAAATGCCAACAACTATGGCAGTTCATGTATTCGTAGTAAAGGAAAAAAAACAACTGGATAGTCGATCCTTTCTCCATACGGGGGAGGGTCATGTTATGAATCGATGGTCTTAGGGTCTTCAATTTCAATGTCTAAAAGCGCTACGACGGATTTTAGCTTTGTGAAAAAGAACACCACAATAGTATTTATTGTAAAATCTAAGTCAAAGTACTTTTTTGTGTATCAGATTTGGTCGATACTGAAATTGTGGGAAATAGCGAGAGACGTGGCAGCGTCGCAGCTCGAGATGTTGGCCAGCCTTGCCTCTCCGGAGTCAGGTATAAGACGGGGGTACAGCGTTTTCATAAGTATCGATACTGGCGCCTCGTGACAGGCCGGAGTCTGTGCTGTTGTTGTTTGGGATATAAATGTAATAGCTCTGGCGCGTTTTTTGGTTTCGGAATTAATTGGTTTTTCGGGATTTGAATGGGCCGCGTTCGGGGCCCCCTCGGCATAACGTATTTAAATTTTATTCGACGCCCGCCCGGTGGTACTAAATGCTAACGAGCTCCGGTGTCGAGAATATGGTCCTATCGATCACGGTTGTCTCTAGCCGACTTCCAAATCCCAGTGCTTCGAACTTCCTGCATAGCATTTTTGCATTGTTCAACTTCCCTGCCTTCTGTCTTCATTTGCCAAATTTTTCACTCAGATATGGTACTGGTGCTATTGTAGTAGTTTCAGAAGCTAACATCCACGAACCACTCGTCAATCACTTCTATAGTGTACAAAATGTTTTGTGGTCTAGCTCTTCTTCGCAAGTTCTTCCCGTGCGAGTATATAGTTCTATCGATCTGGTTCGTTAAAACTGAATAAGACTGGACCATCGGGATAAACT